TTGTTTGTTTAAAGCTGACAGAGCTTGAAGGGAACCTGAGATATCTGTGGAGTCTGCTGGTCGGGAATGTGGTTATTTGTGTCATTTGCCTTCCCGTAGGCTCCTTCCCTTCCCATTCTTGGTCTCTGTGGATCAGCTCAGGTGGAGCTGGATGCCTCTGGCTCTCTTTCTGCAGCTGGTTCACAGAGATGAGACTGGCTCCAGGCTGTCTTTCTTTCAAACCAGGGAAGTTTCACATCCCTAGCATATGATTTTGGCAACCGATCTGTGCTCTGCAGTCTGCTGGGCTAGGTGTGAGTATCCCACCCTGACACAGCTCTGCTCTGTGCTCTGTCCCCTCCAGCCAGCCGGTGCGAAGGGCCCCCATCCCCAGGCCATGACCTGCCAAGTCCAAGCTGTGCCCAGTGCTGCCTCTTGTCCCTCCACAGGGAAAGTCCAAGGTGGGGAAGGCCAGCCAAGAGCAGGCAGCTCTGTTTGCAGGACCTGCTGCTTTGAGTGTCTTACTGGAGCCGAAGCAGACGATGGTGGAGCAGGACCTGGCCTGTGCCAACACCAGGGCCTTGCAGTGGCTGTTGCAATGCATCTGTCATGTGCTCCCTCTTCCCTTCCAGATGTTTGCATCAGCCCAGCTTGAAGCTGTTGGCTCCCTTCTTGGCTGGCTATAGGACTGTGGGTTTATCTCTTACCTACACCATCTCCTTTGCTTTACTAGCTGTGCAGTTGCCCCGTTACCAGCGGTTATGAAGACAACAAGCAGAGGGCAGCAGCTGACCCATGTGAGGAGAAAACTGAGAGGCCCTGACGGTGGTGTTGGTAGGAATTGGGCTCTCCTGTGCTGCCCTTGCTATCCACCACCCCCTCTGTGTGTCACAGAGGAAGAAACTGTCTCCAGAGGCAAATCTGCTCGAGGTCACTGGACGAAGCTGAATGCAGAACTGATCTCTGCTGCATCCAAGCTGTGTCTGGACTTGATGATCTTAAAGGTCTTTTCCAACCTAAACGATTCTATGATTCTGTGGTGTTCTTGCTCTAGATTCTTTTCTCCTATCAATGCTACTCAAAGCATCCTTCCAGCCTCACTGAGCATCCTCTGTCCTTTCATCATAGGGAAGGGTAGACGGGAGCTCTTCTCTGTCTTCTCATTATCGCCAGCATTATTTTGTATAGCTTCATCAAGCTCCCCAGACATTATCTTCTCTCTAAATTTAACAGGCCTAATCTTTTCGATCTGTCCTTTCACAGGCACCTTCATCTGCCATTAATCATTTCTGTTTCCCTTCTCAGAACTTTGTGTCTTCTTGCTGGGCAGGCAGAGATACACTCAAGGAATGCACTCACTGCAGGGTCACACATTCACTTGGATATTGCCATTACACTAGTTTGAGCATTCTTGATATGTTTCTCACCACCTTTTCCCATCATGTATTTTTATTGCAGTCTTCCTTGATCATTCTCAAATCACAGCTGCACCCTGAGCAAAGTGGTCCATAAGCTATTGGTTATAGTCTTTAACTGTGTCCTCTCTGGTCATTCAAGAGGCGTCAGTCACGTCTCGGCCAGTTGCAAAGTCATGCCTGGTTCTTCAAAACACCTTTACCAGCCCCTTCTGACACCTCTAGTCTGAACTAACCCAAATAGTTTAGTGTTGCTGGTATATCTTGACTCCCTCCTGGGCTCATTCTCACACTGCTGCTGCAAGCATCTTTGGATTTTCTTCCCCACCTTCTGGATGTTCAGTGACCCTCAGGTTCTCCCATTCCTTTGCATCTCTACTGCTTCTCATGTGCCATCTCTCCCTCTGCATCTATTTTTGCAAGGCCAGAGGAACACAAACGTCTCCATATGTGACCCTCCATGGCCCTACAGTGGCCAGGCAGGGAAGAAGCCACGCCTGCTTGGCACTCGGAAACTCTTCCTCTGTAATCCCTTAAATAGCCTGAGCAATACCTGTCTGCACAATTGTTATACAATGGATTTGGAGGATTTCTTCTGCCCTTCCCTGGAAAGCAGGCCAGAGTGAGTGAAGTGCTCCTGGGGCTTTGCGCTGCTCTGAGGCCGTGCCACCTCTGCCGTCCTGGTGGCCACCCACTAGTCCAGGACCATCCTGGGGCTTCCTGCCACCCCAGAGCAGCTGCCTGATCCTGTAGCCGTGGGGGGAATCGGATAGGAGAGCTGAACCAGCTGAAAGCCAACCCTGCAAGAAGCAGCCATGAGTGTGTCAGATCCATCAACTGAGCCAAGTCACTGCCGTGGGACAAGTGAAGGGAGAGGTGCTTGTGAGTGCTGAGCTGGATGGGAAGAGCCAGACTCTCCTTGGAAACAGCCCTGGATTGATCAGTTTGCCTGCTTTGACAGTCTTCACCTGCATGAAGGGGGGGTCCCCACTCTGCAGCCTCTCTGTGCCCTCTGCACAGATCATGGGTCCAAGAGTTTTTCCTGTGTTCTGGCTTAGTTTTGCAGTGGGGCCAGAGTGCCTGGTGCCTGGCACCACTTGAGAGAGCAGGCAGGAGGCTGCTGTAAAAGCCACCTGGAATTTTCTTTAAGACTCATTTCAAATCAAAACAAAATACAATAATAATTAAACTGCTGCAGTCTTGCCTTGAGGGCTGCTCCTGGGAGGAGTGTAATTCAAGCTAATGGTGTTTTTCTTTGCTATTGAGCCAACTTTTCTCTACAGCAGTCTGTCCGGGAGGTGCCTTGGTGCCACAGGTATATAAAAAAAAAGAAACTGGCAGAAATGGGATGCTGAGATCACAGCACTGCGGAGTACAAGGGGGGCTCATGGGGGCTGGACCGTGGCCTCTGGTTTGATGGTAGCTCCCAGGCTAAAATCCTCTGTCTGAAATGGTCAGTTATGCTCCTGTTGAGACTCTGGCTTATGCTCCTGGTTGCACCCTGCACCCTTGGCTGGTTACACTGGAGCTGGGACAGCCTCTCACCAGTGGGTAACTGTCCCTGAATGTGGCTGCTGGCAGGGTCAGACCCTGCTCACAAAACACCCTCACCCCAGCAGGACTCTTGGGACTGGGATTTGCATCAGACAGCCCGAGGTGGGTCAGTGATTCTGGAGACAAGCGCAGGGTAGGTCCTGCTGCCTCTGGCAGAGCCCTCCTAAGTCGTGTTTACTTCTGCCACCCAGGGGCTCTTCACCTGCTTGCTCTTCTTCTCTCTCCTTGATTTCTCACAAAGAAACCTCTCGGGCAGTCTGAATGATCTCCATCACACCACAGACCCCAAGACAGCCAGGGTGATGATCAGGGTTCTCTTCTGGTCCAAGTAGCAGCATTTCTCTATCTTTTTTTTCTCATTCTCCTGCTTTCTCTGCCGAGGACATCCTCATGGGGATGCCAGGAGAAGCCACAGTTGGGTTTTATCAGCACCGTATCTGACACCGTGGCATAGCCACTCCACCCTCGGTTCCCATCAGCCCCTTACGGGATGCACTAGTGGAAGGGAAACATCCCAGGAAGACAAAGTGAGAGCAGTGGATGCCTTGACAGGGGTTCTGTTAGCTTTGAAGCCTCGATGGTTGTTGGATCAGCCATCTGGTTGCCACAGGCATAGCAGCAGAGGCTAGCAGCAATCGAGTGGGAGTGTGCAAGTTGCCCGTATGTGTGTGAGCCCCCGGCCTTCTTCCATCTCAGCTGGCAGTGCTGTGCCTGGGGTGCAGCTGATGCAAGCTCTGGCCCTGTGCTCTTGTGAGCATCAGCACTACTGTAGCATAAGACAGAGGCCATGTCCGAGTGCAGGGGCTGTGCTGCAGTTTCTGGATCAGCTGCTGCCTCCTCGGAGCAGCAACTGGCTTCCCCTCCTTGCTGGAGCATTTGATGGATCTCTCTCATGCTTTAGGCTGAGCTGAGCTTTGCTGGTGGTAGTCCCAATGTCCACTGTTTCACCCCAGCAAAGTTCAGGGTAGCACTGGTGGAAACTTGGGTGAGAGCGGTGTCACAGTCCACCACACAGACTTGGCAGGGGTTAATCATGGCTTCTCACTGGAGTAAGAGTCTGAATAATTAATCCCAGTCCTCTGAGGCTTTCTTAACCCAGCGACAGAATGAGATGGACTGAATTGGAAGGATCGTATTGACTCTCCATGTTATTATCTTAGACTTGGAAATTCTCGTCCTTCCCCCTTTTCCCCCCTTCTCCTCCAAGATGGAGGTGAGTTATTTAAAGGAATGTCTCCTTCTACTTGCATTGCCAGCATAAAGAAAGTAAGACTTTTGACAGAGCTGAACAGAAGCCTATGGTTAAGCAAAGATATGAAAGAGCAGTTTCAAAGAAGTGGCTTATCAGAAACAGGGTGAATTGTGATACGGGAGTGAGGAGAAGTGGCACTGAATGCCCTAGGAGCAAAGAGGAGGAGGACCAGGGATGAAAGGGGAAATGCCAGATGAGTGCTGTGTCTTGAATATGTCGAGGCTGTCAGGGAAGCTCCTGATTACAGCAAAGGCCCTAGCCACAAAATGAAAGCTCTTGGGAGCAGCTGGGGAGGAAATAGGAGGAGAGGAGAGATGAAACCCAGCTGTCTCAGATCCTACAGCTTAGAGAGTGTTGGAGACTGTGGTGAGACACTTGAATTGAACCCTCCCTGCTTCATGCAGAGATCTGAGGTTTGGGGCTTCCACAGATGGTTCCTGGCCTCCCAGATCAGCAGGAGGGATTGGGGCTGGAGGTCTTGATGTTCTCTGTGGGCTGTTGGAAGCAAGTTGGTCTGCAGATCTAGTTAATGGAGGAGACAGCAGATTGGTCTGACCGGGGATCCTAAACAGGCTCTTCTAGGCTTCACAGCCTGGTCCTTTACTGGCTGTCAGCTGGACTGGGGCCAGCCACCAGCACTTGGCCCCTCTCCCTCGTTATTCTTGGTCCTTCCAATCACTGTGTCCCTCGTTTGGTGGTGGGTTAGACTGAGGAGCTCCTCCCTGGTTGGGGAGCAAGGCATATTCCTAACGAAAAAGCCCCCCAGGGCTTGCCAGGCTCACCCCATCCTGACTCCACAGGTAGGAGACCAGATCCTGGAAGTGAACGGCAGGAGCTTCCTCAGCATCCCCCACGACGAGGCGGTGAAGCTGCTCAAGTCTTCCCGCCACCTCATCATGACGGTGAAGGACATCGGGAGGCTGCCACACGCCCGCACCACCGTGGACGAGACCAGCTGGATAGCAAGCTCCCAGATCGGAGAGACCCTCGTCAACTCCGCAGGGTACGTGCTTGGCACGCCCTGTGCAAGCTGCCCCTGTGGATCTGTCAAGTCGGAGCTCGTGTGGGTCGCGCACAGTCACCCAGCGTGGGTGTGGACCCCCAGCACGTGAAATGGTGGCAGCCCCATGCAGTGCAATGTGTGGGGACAGCCCGTCGATGGGAGCACCCCTGGCGCTCGGGCACGTGGCCCCCCTGCGCGGCGCTTACCAGGCAGCACCTCTGGCCTGTAAGGTGCATCAGGTCTGGACAGCATGCTGCTGTGCACCTTCCCTTTCTCTCAGGCCTGAAGCTTTAGCTTACAGGCGCGGAGAGGAGAGCACGTAACAGCTCTCGTGCCAGCCCTCAGGTGATGAGTGATGGGCACGTGGTGCTTGGGGCTAACTGATCTTCTCCCTCCTCGCAGGGCAGTGGGCGACCATGCTGCGGAGGCGGCAGCCAGGGTAAGAGATATCAGGCTTTCCTGATGCTTTGCGAAAAAATCACCGCTATTGACTCTTATTTTCCACGGGAGGGGAGGGCTTTGTGCTCCTGATTATAAAAGGGTTGCTAGTTTTGTGAGGACCGATAGGTTTGAACTGGCCTTTCCTCTGCCCACCTCATGTTGCCAGCTGTGGTTCTGCAAAGAGTGACATAATGGTACCCCCTCTCCTGTGCTGCTGGTGGGTCAGTTCTGCGGCACATCTGGTGCCTCCCAGCCTGGGAACGATCACATTAATGGGCAAGGGGCAACGATCACACGTGGGCAAGAACTGTGAGGACTCCCTCCACCCTGCAGAGGTGACCATGATGCCTTCCACGTGGTGACTGTCTGCGGGTCCCGACATGGGATCTTTCCCACCCCGAAGCAGGGCCAGCCCTCTCTGGCACACCAGCCAGTGGCAGGGACTTACCCAGTGCTGTGGCTGCAGCTCTGTGACAGCATGTCTTCTCTGAAGACCTCTTTCCAAAGTGCATTTCTTTTAAATGGAAATGAAGCAGTGAGGTTTCACAGGTGGCCCTCACTGATAACGGCTTTGTACTGTTTGCTGGTAAAATATGCTCCCCAGCCTCAACTCCACAGTGTCTCCGGGATAGTCAGGATCTTGTCTGGCTCCGTATCCCTACGCGGGCTGTGCCAACACTGCCTGGGAGAGGAACAGCAAAGGCCTCCTCTTAGAAATCCCTCTCAAAGAAAAAAGCCTTTCATCTGCAGCCAGACATGTCTTTCCTGGGGACTCCTTTGGTTGCCAGCGGCTCTTTCTTCACCAGGGTCTGCTTTGAGCTTGCAGCGGGGGCAAGTGTGTCTTTTACACAAAATGGGAAGTTTGCCTTTCTCTCATGGCCCCAGTTCTCCCAGCTCTGCCAGGAAGGAATGTAGCCTGCTATTAAATCAAATGGTAGTCAAGGAACAGCATCCACGCTTGCTGAACAGAGCTGGGAAGCTGTTTTATTTATTCAACTGGTGCTGCATAAATTCATGGGCCTGGAGTTACCCAGTGACACTGAGTGAGTGAGTGAATCCTTGGGGGTACCTGCCTCTAGTCATTCTCGGCATCTCCCTCCCAGTCCCAGTTTCCAGCTTCTGCTGAGCAGAGCCCAGAGCAAGGGGACAGCTCTCGGTCCTGCCTGTGCTGCCCGGCTGTCTCAGCAGAGACAGTTGCCCTCTGATTCCTTGTCACCCCAGGCCAAAGCCCTTCTCCTGTCTTCTGCAGCCTGTGTTTTACCGGGGCCTGGCCGGCTCCCAGGTGACGCTGAGCAGCATGGTGAACCAGACCCGCGTCATGCTGGAGGAGCAGGCACGGCACCTGCTGAATGAGCAGGAGCGGGCGACCATGGGGTACTACCTTGATGAGTATAAGGAAGGCAACATCTCCGTGGATGCTCTGGTCATGGCACTCTTCGAGCTACTCAACACACATGCTAAGGTGAGGCCCACACCAAGGTCAAGGACGATTTCTTGTGCCCGGTGGGCTGAGTAGAGCCACTGTCACAGTGTGGCTCAGTGCCTCCAAGGTTGGCTCATGGTAAAGGGTGAGAGTGTGAAAGCAAAATGCAGATGTAGGACATTATGGGGCATATGGGCTGGTGTTCAGTGGCAGAGGAGCTTCTGGTAAAGTTTAGGATCAAACCTCACGCGCTACCTGCCAGTAAATCTCATTACCACTGGTGAACAGTGTGGGAGGATGGGTCTTCACCTACCCAGGAATATGGTCGTGCTCCAACCTCTCTTTGGTTGTCTGTCTGCCTGGCCCAGTTCTCACTGCTTTCAGAGGTGCGGGGTGTGATCTCCCCGCAAGACCTCGACCGCTTCGACAACCTGGTGCTGAAGAGAGAGATCGAGTCCATGAAGGCCCGACAGCTCTCTGGGGCCAGCGCTGGCACCGACTCCTACTCTATGATGTCCTACAGTGACACCGTCTCTTCTTCCAGCAGCCACTTCACTGCCACAACCGTCAGCTCAGCCCGGGTAAGTCCCTCCTGGCTGTACCTTTTTCTTTCAGCACCTGCTCCTGGCAGCCCCACAACAAACTCATTTCCCTGGAGTGCTGTAAAGGCATTTCCCCCCACAGTGAACCCCTGTTCGGTCTGCTTCCCCGATGGATTTCCCCAAAGCTTTTTTTTTATTTTATTTTTTTTTTTCTCCTTGTAGGCTGGGTGCAGTAGTGTGGTTTGTAGGTGCAATAAGGTGATGCCATGACTTGTGCTTGGTACTTCTGTGCCCCTGAGGCTGAGATGCTAGTGTCCTCTGCATGGGCACTGGGCCTGATGCTAAGTGTCACTTTGTCCCCAGCAAGGGAGGAAGTCTGCCTGCCTTCCAGGACCTCCACTGCTCAGTGTGAGCTGCCTCCACACAGAAATCTCAGCAACTTGCCGCTGCCACACCACGCCTGCCTCTCTTCCCCAGCTCTGGCTGTCACTTTTAAGTCACCTCCCTGGAGACCCTGGCTGCCTGCTCCCCAACCCAGCAAGGACCACAGCGGCCACGCCAGCTGCATCCTGTCCCAGCCCCTGCCCACTCTCGAGCATTAAGCAGCGGTGCTCCCACGTCTCCCTGCCAGGCCTTCATTGCACACACCATCTAATTAAGTTATCATAATCACCTCAGAGTGTGCAGGCACACAGCCCTGAAAGTAATTTCTTAGCCATAAAATGACTTTCATCATAAATGCATTAGCAACCTTGGAAAATAAAACCTTTGTGAAAAAGAACAGATGACAACGGGCTTTCTGCTAGTTCGACAGCAAGCAAACCAGCCCCCGGCCGGGGCGAGTGGGACTGTGCTGTGGAGGGCCCAGGCAGCACAGCCGGCAGTGGGGAGAGGCGGGGGGCTTCCCTGGGGCCGTGCCTGCCTACACGGTATGGTCTGGCCTCCCAAGAGGCCTCTGAAAGTTTTCAGAGCATCTGAGTTGTGGTTTTGTCCCATTGATTTCACTGATACTGATAGGAAAGCCGTTTGCTCTGTTCAGGATGAATTACAGTGAGATCCTTTCTGGATCAGGATAACCAAGTTTTGCGCTGCTCTCGAAGGCCTGCTGGAAAAATCTTTCCTAAGTATCAGAGGGCTGGCACAGGTCTGCCAGGACTTGTGTGCTGAGCGTGGCAGCCTGTTCTCGTGCTATCCCCGTGCCTGGGGCTGCACCACCTGCTCTGCGTGCGCCGTGCTCTCCCTCCTGTGCCGTGACACCACCTGCCAAGCGTGGCTGCTTGGCCTGGCGTGCGGGCGATGGCCCAGCCCTACCTGGCACACGAGCCCAGAGGTCGGGGAGGGAGACCGGGGTGCTCTTCTGGGATAGAGTGGGGCACCGCTGCCGTTAGAGCTTCCTTCAAGATCATGTGTCCCTCGGTCACACTGCAGGTCCTCCCTGACAACACGTCACCTCTTTCCATGGGCATGAGAGCGTACACCCCTCTGAGCTCTGCCTCGGGCATTGGGGACGCTAATGCTTGAGATGGTTGTTACCACAGCTTGCCAAAACAACTGCCAAGCAAAGAGCATCGGCTCGTGGTGGATGGGTGCTTATCTCAGCTAGCAGGAGAGAACAGGGGCAGAGCTCCCGGGCTGTTTCCTCTGCCCTAAGCCCCTGCTGCCGTTGCCCTCCCCAGCACCTCGCGCGGGAGCAGCTCATTTCAGCCTTCACGTTCAGCCCTGGGTGCAGCTGGATGTGGATTCTGCAGGGTGGGTTTGGGGGGAGGAGGGGGACGCGTTGTGCCGGGATTTGCTTGTCTCGCTCATTTCTTCTACATCCTCCCTGATGTTATGTTTTCGCTTTTATGCTTGTTTTAATCTGCTTTTCCCCTCTGCACGTCCCCAGGAGCGGCTCTTGTGGCTAATAGACCTGATGGAGGTAGGGGCTGTCAGCGAGACGGGGAGCTCGAGTGCTGCGGTTGCCATAGTAGACGGGTTGAGAGTGCGTGTGAACGTGCGCGGGGCGGGAGGCGGGTGCGGACCGTCCAGGGGCCAGCACGCGGCTCAGCCACATGAGCAGCCGCCTCGTTTCACCCATCTCTGCCTTTTCTTCCCGTGGCTCTGCTGAGCCATTCCAGAGCCCCTTCCCCCAGCACGGCTGCAGTGCAGACAAGACTCAGCCTTGAACCAAACCCAGCTGGTATCTCTGTCCGGCTTGCACTAAAGCCCTGAGTGCCCCTGACAGCTCAGGGCTGGGGTTTTAGAAGGATCAGGAGCGTTGATGCCAGATGGACCCCGGACTGCCCTTCCTGCCTTGTTGCCTGCTGTCCCTGCTGCTGTGCTGTCTTGCTGTATGGGCACCCTGGCTAAATACCAGTAGGCTGGTCACATCCCACCATGCATCCTCGGGAATGGGGGAGGAATTTAACTTGCAGGCCTTGGTTCTTTAAGAAAATCTGTGCTCCGGTGCAGGAGGGATCAGCGTACGCACATTGTGCGTGTTCAGCCTTGGATAAATCCTCACACAGACTTTAGAGAGGCTAGACATGGATGCGGGGAGAGCCTCGGCAATCCCTCTGTCATAACAGAGCTCTTGGTTGGGAGGAGACTGAGAAGAGCTGCAGGCTCGTGCCCTGCAGTGCAGCTCCGTGGTGTGGAGTGGATTCCCTCCTCGTCGGGGAGGAAATCACAGGGGTCAGCGGGTTGAGCACATACAGGGAGTGGTGGAGCTGACTGCTGCTAGTACTGCTTTGGGAGACAGGACCTCTGGTAGCTGTGAACCTGGCCCCAGAGCCACATCCCTCTGGGAATGGCACTTATCTAGAAGAGGATAGCTGTAGCATTCCCAGATAGAGTTTATCGCAGGCACCCTGAGCCATGGGACACAGATTTCTTTGGCTTCATGATCAGAGGCAGTGACACTAGACCAGGCCCCCTGTCCTGTCAGCTTTCCATGGGTCACTGGGTGAGCTTACACCAAAAGTAGCCAGTATGAGACTGATCAGGCGAAAAGAGATTCCGTTATGGGATGCTTGAAGGGTACGTGGAGATGACACACAGCCGTGTTTGATGGTGCCACCCACAGGCGGTGTGTGTCTGTCACCATCATGTCTTATAAATGTGGATCTCAGAATGAGTTCTGCAAAGCAGAGGTTAATTGTAGACTGCAATAAGCAGATGCAACTTGTCTGATCAGAGCAGTATGAATTTCTGATTGCTTACAAGCAATGCAGTCTAGCATTTCCATTGTCCCTGCCTCTTGACCCAGCCCTCGTTGTTAGGATGAAGGAATTGAAATCTCTGTTGATTTCGTTTTTCTTCTCCACTGCCTCCTAGCAAAGACGCTGCCATCCAAAGGTGCCTTTTCCTCCCAGGGCCCGATTCCACAGCTCCCTGAAGCTGTAGGATCAGGCCCAGTGTGGTAACCCAGTTGAGTTGCTAGTCCCTGCCTGTCTTTAATCTCCGTTTCACAAGAAATAGAAGTAAGGAGCGGATGGCACCAAGCTGTTCCTCTCCCTGGAAAGTGAATCTCAAGCACAAGAGCCCACAGCCTCTTTGGAGCTGGCAGATGATCTGTATCCCCAGAGGGAGAGCAGCACGAGAGCGGGGGCATGGGGGGACATCTTCTGCACCTCTGTCCCCCACTACAGAGCTGCTCCAGCTCCCGGCTGTCCCCCTGACCCCCTCCAGGACAGGCACAGACATCCCAGGTGCTTGGCACAACCCTCTTGGGTGATGAGGATAGAGACAGAGTGAAGCCTCCCTGTGGGTGTCATTGCATCACCCTTAGAGCCCCCAAAGTCAAGAGAGGCCTGTGCTCAGGCTGGGGCAGGGCTGGGGGGCTCTGGGGCTCCTCCAGCCCTGCGGAGGCATTCTGGGGTGGGAGAGAGGAGTAAAGCTGAGCTTATTCTCAGACTGGTGCAGTTGTTCAAAATTTAAACCCTGCGGGAATCAGGCTGAGTAGCTCTGCAAAGCTCTCGTTAGCAGTAACTGGAAAATAAGGGACTCATTTGGAGCTGTGAGGTTAATTAAAGGTTGGGTTGTATTCCCCAGGGAGGTGGCAGTTTCTCTACCACTTAATCTGCAAATGGAAACTGGCTGCCTGTCTGAAAGATGCTCTCCAGCTCCATCACTTCTGCTGTGGACTCCATGTAAGATAGGAAGGACAAAAGTTTTCCAGCTGCACCCTGCGGAGGGGCTGCAAGGTCCTTGCCTGGCCTCCAATTCCTATAAGTAACTATAAAATAGATGGGGTAAAGGAGCAGAGAGTCAGTAGGAGGGAGCAGCCTCCTCAATAAATACTCATTTTTCAGGCCAGTGGCACGTGGCTTTAATGGGTCTTTCAAGGGAAATCCAGGAAAGCACAGTCTTAAAATAGCCAATTCCTGAAAGCAAATGTGCTCAGCCTAAAAGCCATTACATTTTATAGCCCAAGAGCAATTTCTATTTAATTGCTTTTGCCCCCAAAGTACTAAGCTCGGGGAAAGGCACATCTCCTGCTTGCACACTTCAGCAGAAAAAAGTGCCCTGAAGAAGACAAGTAGCATTAGTGTCCCTGGGTGTTCGGGGGGGCAGCGGGACTCGGACCAGGCTGGCAGGGAGGGCGCGGGCTGCAGCGGGCTCTGCCCACCCTCCGTTTGCCAGGAGGATTCAAGTCTCAGGGCAGACTGGTCCCAGCTTCGAGGCCGGAGCTGGGACATGGCACATGATGCACTCTGGGACAGGCTTGATGTCATGGTGATGGACACAGAGTTCAGTGGAAGGACAGGGGGAGATGGCACTGGCAGTGTTTAAGGGGGAATCGGGCAGACTCTTCTCTTTTTAGTAGCATTGTAGCTACGACTGTTTGATGGCAGGCTGCTCCTGGTCATATTGCAGGGGCCTAGTCCTCACGCATTTGCTAACAGCTCAGTGAGCTCTTGGAGGCAGGTTGGGGCTGGCAGAGGTAGGGCTGGAGAGGGAAGAGTCAGGGACACAGCTGAGATCCTCCCGACCACAGCCAGGCTGGTGCTGAAATGCCAGTCTCTGCCTTGGCTCCTTCCCTGTGCACGCAGCCATTTGGCTGGGTTGAAGGCTCTGGGCAGCATCTGGAGGTGGGCTGGCGCCGGGGGAGGGTGGTACTTGGGCAGTTTTCTGCAGAGCAGCTTTCTCGTTAGAGGAAACAACAGCAAAAGGAGGGAGCTCTGTGGCGAGCACACTGGTGCAGTTTGCCCAGTGCTGTGTTTTGTCCGGCTGAGCGTCTCTGCTCCTTGGCATCACACAGCGACATGGTGGCACTCAAGCTGTTAAACTCATTGGCACTTAAATCAAATCTGAAGACCTATTGCTAATACATGCGCAGCCCAGAGAAGTTCATGTTCGTTTTAATCAATATGAAGGCAGGTCGCTTTTGAAATAGCCCTATCTGCCTCTTCCTCCAGCCTCAGACATACGGTATCGCCCCGTCCTTCGTGCCAACCAGTGCTTGGATTTGCACAGTCCTGTGGCACGTCAGGTCTGGCTGAAGCCTGATCTTTGTTGCTGCTGGTATGTGTTTCAGCCAAACCTGGCTTGTTGCACGGTCAGTAACCCAAGAAGGGGTAGGGGATGTTTCTCTTTCAAAAGCCACCTGCCTTTACATTGGATTAACTGATGATGAAATCAACTTTCATCAGAGGAAGGAGTGCTTTCCCAAGCTAATACTTTCCCTATCACTCTCTGAACAAGCCATTTCCTTTAGTTCTCCTTCTCCAGGGTTCCTTCTGAAGCCGTAGAGATAAAAGCACTTTCCGTCAATGTTTTTGCTGCTTCTGTAATGCTCTTAATTGTCTCCCATGTCTATTTTGGGACGCTAACATCTTACAAGCACAGCAGCAGCCTCCAGCAGATGGGGGAAATGCAGATGCACCAGCATTTCAACTAATCAGTTGTTTACCCTGCAATAAATAACACGCAGTTAAACACAAACTGTACCCTGCCCATTCCAGCACAAATGAACAAACATCCCTGTGACGTGACAGAAACGAAGCACACCCTTTCTGAGCCGCAGCAGAACCTCTCCAGATCCGGGAGTGCCGAGTCTGGGTTTGCTCTTGCAGGGGAGCCAGGCGGAGCTGGGGCTGTGCACCACTGGCAGAGCATCCCTGGGAGAGTACGTGGTGCCTGCCTGGGGCAAAGCCGGGGCTCTGGGCTGGACGTGGGACCCACTGGGTTCAGCTGGCTTGCCAGGGCAGAGCTGCACACCCAGCCTCCCCTGCACGCCCCCGTTTCGGCCATCCCTGCTGTTATTTAGCCAGGGTGCCTCTTTGCTCTGCATGACTGTATCCACGTCCTCTCCTTGGGTCCATCCTGGTTGACAGCTGCCCCTGCACAAACAGACTGATTCCCAAAGCCCTTCTTGATTTCAGGAGCTGTGATGTGTTCTAGAGCTGTGCTGTGACATTTTCTAATGACATTTTGACTCGGAAGGCAGCGGCAGCAGCTTCTGTTTGCATGAGACCAACTGCTCTGGTTTGCAAGGGAGAGAGGTTTAAACTTTTTCATTGCCCTTCTCCCAGGAAAGATACGGGTATTGAACCTGCCGCCCTCAGAGCTGGTTCTTCCCCTCCCTCCAAATTAAACACAAGGAGCTGAGATTTGAGTTGAGGAGCATGCTCCTCTACTACAGGGGAAATTGCCCTGGTAGGTCAGGTTCACAGCATGCTTTGAGCACATTTCTTTTATCTTGAGAGAGTTGGTTTTCCCCCCACGTTGCTTTGCTCATACGTGTGAGTCTCTAGGGAACCTCCCAGGAAACCAAAACCTTTGGGTGCAAGACTGGCCTTGCGTGGGGGGCTTGGGCAATACCCTGCATCACTCTGCATGTTCCCTGTCATGCTGGCACTGTGGTGGTTGCTCCTTGCTGCTGTGACCTGGTTTTCTCTTCCTCCTTTGCCCTGTCAGAACACATCAGAATTGGAGGGAGGTGGAGACGGCCACCAAAGTAGCATCAACCCCCTGCCGGACATCTCCCTGGTAAGACACTGCACCCTGCTGCTGCACCTTGGATGGGAGCTGGAGGCAAATCGGTGATAGCGAGTTTTGCCTCAGCTTCTGTAGCTCTTTGCTACATCACCTGCCTGTGGATGTCCCTGCAGTCACTGAAACAAATGAATCAGTCTGGTTAGGAAGGATTCTGGCTCTCTGAACAAGAGTAGCATCTGTGCAAACCAGAGCAAAAGTTGGGCAGTTTGTCTTCTAATCGTCCTCATTTGTGAGTCGTATTCTTATTGCCAATAAGGTCAGAAAGGTATTCCTACGGAAATGAGCTCATTTTGCCGTGGTCACTGTCAGAAGGCAGATGCAGGTGACTGTGAGCCTGGGGAAGTTCTCACAGCCGAGCACGGTGTCCTAAAGGCTTCTGTTCTTGGTCTGGCAGGATGATCTCTCCTCCTTCCCAGATGAACCACCCAACTTCAAGCCTCCGCCTCCTCCTTCGGCCTCTCAGATGCTGGACCCCTCTGCTGCCCAGCACAGGAACCCAGAGAAAGACAAGCCCAAGCGCCCTTCCTCCGAGTCCTCTCAGTCAGGCCTCTTTTTCGTGGCCCCCCGAAACCCCACGCCCCCTCCCAGCCACCCCGAGAAGGACACAGTCAGCATGACCTCCACTGCTACCACATCCACCGAGGAGTCTGCCCCCAGCGCTATCTACGCTACCATTTCCCCAGCCCTGCACAGCTCCAGGAGGCCAATGGATGCCCAGCTCGCCTTGGTCAGCCAACACCCCATCGGGCCCTTCCCGCGGGTCCAGTCGCCCACGAGGTTGAAGAGCCCACCCCCCGACGGCCCTGCAGCCGGTGGGCTTCAGAGCCCCCCTTCCCCATCCCCTCCTCCTCCCCCAGCCCACCCGGCCCCCCCTCCGCCGGAGAAGGGCAGCCCACAGGCCGTGGCCAACCAGCATTTCATCATGGTGGAGGTGCACCAACCCAACAGCGAGCCCGACGTCAATGAAGTGAGGCCCTTGCCCCAGGCCAGAGGTGGGTGTCATGTTAGCAGCCGCCGGGTGAAAAAAACCTTCTCTGGGGTTTACCTCGAGAGAAGAACGGGCGAAGAGCCACATCTGAAGGGTAGAGAGTGGGGGAGCTGGAAAAGGGAGAGCTGCATCAAGCTGCAGGTCCCTGCACAAGCAGTGGGCTTGGTTGCCAGGGAGGGACTGCGAGGGCAAACATCCTGATTTTGGTTCAAACTCCGAGTCAGGAGGGAAGGGTAAAAGCCGCAGAGCCTGGGTCGGTGTGGCAACATTTGGTAGCTGTGTGTTCATTTGGGTTTTTTTCCCCCTGAGGTGAATTTTCAATGGCAGAAAATCTAGGAAACATATAAAGCCCTTCGGTGTTAGCAGCAGTAGTGGTGTTAGTCTCTGAGACAAAGCTCTCAGCCCTGGGTTTTGGAAAACCTGCGAGGCCCAGGGCCAGGGCAGCCAGCTCCCCATCGCCATTCAGCACACTCTTCAACGCCTCCCTGGTTTTCCAGTGCAATTCAGACTGACCTTTGCTTAAAGCCTGAGCTCTGCCGGGTGGTGGTTGATTGCAACTTCTCTCTTGTGTGGGCTTCGCTGTGTTAGTTAATAAAATCTGCTTCCACTGGAGTTTTAAAAGAAAAAAAAAAAATAATTCTGGGGTTTTCCCATTAGCTCCAGATTTTGGAAAAAAAAAAAAAAAAAAAAGTCTGAGTGTGCTTGGGAGTCAGATTTATGCTAAACATATGCTGGGAAAAAGTGGAAGGGAGGGAGGAGCGTGCTGGGTTCCGGAGGTCCCTCGGCAAAGGGCTCTGGTCCAGCGGGAGTGGGAAGGGTGTTCCTGGCTCTCTGGGGGGGGCTGGGGGTACCCGCAGCACCCCCGAGCCCCTGTGAGTCCCCCCTTCCCCCGGAATGGCCCGTTTGCCTCCGTGGGACGCGATGCGAGTGGCATTGTCGCCCTCCTGCGGCACCGTCCTCCTGCTGCAATTAATTCCTTCGCCTCCGGGGAACGGCTGAGGGGCTGGGGTGCCTGGCTCTGCCCGGGGGGTGTCAGCAGTGTGACCCCCAACTCCCCCCAAGGCCCAGAGCCGAGTTCCCGGACCATCAGCCCTCTCTGCAGGTGCTGTCGTACCGTTGTTCCTGACGCTCATTTCCAGAGGCAGAGGCTTGATCAGAGTCTTCATCCTCGAAGGGGAGAAAGCTCCTACCTGGCAGCTCCTCTTTGCTCGGGTCTGTCCCCATCTCCTCCCAGACCCTGGTGCTGAGCATGGGCTGGCTCAAACTGGCCTGCAGCAGCATCCCTGAACTCACCACCCTCTCCCTCCGTCCCAGTTCAGGATCTGAGATGGATCCTGGACCTAGATTTGGGGCCGCTTGTTCCTTTGATGCTCCCTGTGCACAACTCTGCTCTTTTGGAGTGTGGGAACCCCTCTCTCAAGTCCAGGTCTAAATGCCAGGGAACCTGCCCAGCCCTGGGAGTGGGTGAGATGTCCTCCCTCCCACCCGCACGTGGCCCTGTGGGTTCTCGGCCGGCCGCAGAGCCGTGCTGCCCGACCTCTAACAGCCCTCGTCTCTCCCCAGCCTCCACGCTCTCCCAGCTGTCGGACAGCGGGCAGACCCTCAGCGAGGACAGCGGGGTGGACATCGGGGAGGTCGAGATGAGCGGCAAGGACAAGAGCCGGCAGCCGGTCCCTGGGAAAAGCCGAAGCCTCAAGGAGGCCACGAGGAGCGAGGGGGCAGCAGAAGGGGCCACTAAGCCGGTGAGGCTGGGTGCCCAGGGGCCTCGGGGTGCTGCCATCAGTGGGAGATGGGCACCCAGGGCTGCCAAGGGGCAGTGCTGCTCCCCACTGCCTTGTCCAGCCGTCTGCCAGTTCTGCTCCCTCCGCCTGTGGGCAGCAACCTCTCTTCTGTTTTTTGATGGGTTATTTGTCCTGTTTAATGAGCTGAGTCAGCTCGCTGGTGGGCTGAGCCGTGGGGAAGGGAGCCAGGAGCTGCTGAGAGGGGCACTGCAGGGCTGATTCACTCCGTCCTGGGTAAATCCAGTCCCTCCCAGCTCCAGCAAGCAGCTGTCTGGGACATGGCAGAGTTCCTGGCTCTGAAGGGACATCCGCAGTGTCCCATGAGTGAAGCCACCCGTCACCTAGAAGGGAAGGTGACATCAGGTATCAGGAGTAAATTGGAGGGTTTCTGGTGGTGGCAGGGTTGAGGGGTGTAGGCAGGCAGCGGGAGAGCCGCTCTGCTCCTCCCCAAGCCCTTCCAGACCTGCCCGCGGTTGGGATCTTGCCTGTCAGGGGTCAAGAGAGCAACTGCAGGCCGTGTGTCTGTCCCTCTCCCGTGGAAGCCTGTCGGGGGTGAACCTGCCTCCCATGGGGCCGCGGCCGGCAGACGGAGTCCGGCCTCCCTCGGCAGCGCTGCCCTCTCTCCCCGCAGCCGGGGCTGCTGGAGCCCACGTCGTGTCTGATCCGAGTGTCCAAGAGCGCACCGACCTTGGGGATCGCCATCGAGGGTGGAGCGAACACGCGGCAGCCGCTGCCCCGCATCGTCACCATCCAGGTAGGGCAGGCTGAGAATGGGGAGAACTCGATGCACGTCCCTTCCCTCTCCTCCCTGGACAGGCTCAGGAAAGCTCTTCAGCCACGGCCAGAGCACAGCGGCCGCCCTGCCCCAAGGCGGGGGGGGGGGGCGGATTTTGGAGGTGTGCTCTCCCCCTCCTGCAGCCCTGCCTCTCCCCAGACAGCAGAGGCGTCATTCTGCTGCGGGGAGGGTTGCTGAGGGTTGCATTCGTGTCCAGTGGATGATCCCACGCCATAAAGCACGTCCTGGGAGCCAGGGGTTTGCTGCAGACATTTCAGAGGGGGTCTGGGCAGTCCCAAAAGCTTGGCTGGTGTCTCCGGATGTCTGGAAACTCCCTTTTTCTGCTCAGATAGAGGATTGGCTAGGGGGCATGGTGGATGATGGCTCGGGGAACTGAGCCCTCGAGAGCTGTATGTCTCCCTGCACTGTTTCCCTTGCTGTTTACTTGGGGCAAAATTCAAGTTATTTACAGCAAAAGCAGACTGTGCCTTGGTTATTCTTGGCCATCCCAGCTGGTGCTCCGCTCCAGGAGCGAGCAGAAGGGAAGCCAAATTCATCCCCTCTTTTCAAAATGTGAAATGTTTCATTTCCACCACGTTCACCCTGACCCGGCAAATGCTTCGTGTGAACATGATGGAAATGAAGTATTTCCCATTTTCCCAAAACCGCCTGTATTTCATCCCTGGGTTGAGCCAGGGGAGTGGTGGGACCAGGAGCTGACCCCCTCTCTCCTGCAGCGCGGGGGTTCGGCACACAACTGCGGGAAGCTGAAGGTGGGCCACGTCATTTTGGAGGTGAACGGCACGGGGCTACGGGGCAAAGAGCATCGGGAAGCCGCTCGTATCATCGCTGAAGCCTTTAAGCTGAAGGAAAAGGACTACATCGATTTCTTGGTCACAGAATTCAACGTCGCCCTTTAGGAACCCGCATGGGTTTTGGGAGCGTGGCTTGGGACGGGGAACCCCCCCAACGGGGATGAAAGGCAGCGCCGAGGTGTGAAAGCAGCATCCCACCACACAGAGCCCTTGCCCGCTGTGCCACCCCACACACGCAGCCACCCCCCAGCTTGTCCCCCAATGTCCCTTCACCCACCGCAGACTCTCCATGCCTGGGTAGGGCAGGCTGAGAACGGGCAGAAATCAGTGCACATCCCTTAAAGTCTCCATCCCTGTCCTCTGGGGTGGAGGGGGGGCGGGGGGGGGGGGGCTGCCCTTCAGGAACACCCTCTCCCCCTCAACCAGGCTGGGGACGGGGCAGGAGGGCGGCAGAGGTCTGGGTGTCCCCCGTGTCATTCGAGTGCCACACGCGGAGCGAGGTGGGCCCGTGGCTCAGGCTGGAGGGTTTTTGGGGGCGGTCGCTGCTCCCTCGGGTGCTCGCCCCCAAACCCAGGCGGGTGGCACGGGTGGGGATACAGGGAGAGCAACCGGAGGCCTTGTAAATTGCTGGCAGCGTCGTCGTATGTATATATACAGAGCTTGTGCTTTTAATTTTTCAATAAATCTATCAGGTTAGAAAAAGGCTGGGTTTGGAGCGGGGGGGGGGGGGCGGGGGGGGGGGGGGGGGGGGTGGGTGTGTTTTCTTCGGGACCGGAAGATGGGCGGCAGGACGGTGAGGGGCAGGGGTGCCTACAGGGCACCCCGGCACAGGCCGGGCGCGGGGGTGTGCGGTGGCGATGGGCAAAGCGGACACAGACCCCACCCCGGACCCCCTGAATCCGGCCCGGGACCCGTCCCCCAGCCCCGCCCGGGCACGGGGCAGCCCCGGCCCCAGCAGGGGGGGCCCGCGCTGCATAAATTATGACAATGAGACACTCCCCCCCCCCGTTCACCGCGGTTCTGATTGGCCGTTCGCGGCGGGCTATGCAAATGTCAGGAGAGGCGGGGTTTATGCTAACGAACTCCCTGCGGGCAGCGCGGCGGCCCGCGCGGATTGGCGGGAAGCCGCAGGGATGCTAATGAGGGTGTAGGCCACGCCCCCCCCGCCGCCGCCGCCGCCGGCGGGCCGCGCTATTGTCCGGCGGGGCCGGGCCGAGAGGAGGCGGCGGCGGCGGCGGCGACTGGGCCGGGGCCGGGGCCGGGGCCGGGGCCGGGGCCGGGCGAGGAGGGGCCGGCCGAGCCCTCCCTGCAGGTGAGCAGCCGCGGGGCAGCTTGTTGCATGCGCGGGGGGGGGGGGATGCCCCTCCAGATGTGCCCTTCCAGATGTGCGCGCACAGCACCCACCCCCCCACAGCTGTGCCCCGGGGCTGGGAAGGAGGAGGCCTGAGGGCACCGCTGGATGCACAGCTGGGGGGGCCCGCGGGGCCGGCCCCATCCCGGGGGCCGCATCCAGCACCCCCCCGGCTCTGCTCAGCTCGGCTGCGGCGCGGCTGGCTCGCAGCTGGGATCCAGTTGGGGTCTCTGGGTGTTGGGGGGGGGGGGGGGGTGACCCCCAGCTGGGGTCTCTGCGGCCGGGGAGATGCGCCGGGAGGATGCGGGACGCTCCCCACTGCGCCGCATCTCACCCACACGTGTCCTGCCCGCGCCGCAAGGAGCCTTCGTGACCGTGGGGAAACTTGTCATAACTTTTATTATTCCGGTGCTTCCTCCCCCGGCCGGGGCCGAATCTTGCGCGTGGGCGGCGTGGCCGGATTTCGGAAGGGTTTCCGAGGGCACACGAAGCCAAGGCGCGGAGGCCGTGGGGTGCGGAGGCCGTGGGGTGCGGAGGCCGTGGGGCGCGGAGGCCGTGGCACTGCCGGCGGCCCCTCCGAGGAAGTTGCAAGGGCTGCCTTCAGCTTCAGTTCCTTGTTTCAGTTAAAGCACAGCTGTGTTCCTTTAACGGCAGTGGGTGCCGGCCGGGTGCCGTGGGTTTCCTTTGCTCTGCAGCACCCTTCCGACACGGTCCAGGCAGGGGTGTTTTAAGGGCTCCTCGGCGAGCGCAAGCGGTTGATGCGCTGTTTACCCAAACCCAGCCTGTTGCTGCGTAACCCCACCACGTGCTCCCGTGTCCCCTCTCGTGTCCCCCCGCCACCTCCTCCTGCCCTGCGCTAATCGGGGATCTCTGTGCCCCCGGCTCTGCCGCGGCAGCAGCTCTCTCCAGGCGGGGATTAAGGCCGCCCTTCACGGGCATTACAGCTCACCCTGGCTCCCATGGGTATGTCGGGGTTCAGCCCCAGGGTGTACCCCTGCAGCTTTCCAGGATGGGCCCTGGGGATGACGCCGTCCCCAGGGAGGACAGGGCCCTGCGGAGGGGACAGGAGGGTTTGTGTGCTGGGGAGGAGGCAGGAAAGCGGCCGCGGGAGCAGCTCCGTGTCCTGGTGTGGGACTTTGCTTCAGTGCAAGTGATGGAGGGATGCCATTTCCACAGGGTTTTGGTACCTCTCCATGGGGACATGGCCCCTCCAGGCAGAGAAACTGGGACACACACACACACACACACACATGGCCTTTAGAGCGATGGTGTAGTTACAGGTGTGTGTGTGCTTTCAGAGGACGAGGAGGGCTTGTCAGGCAATCCCTCGCTGCGATGGTTTCTCCCTTGTTTTAATGGGAAATAGTGCAAGCTAAGAAAGAAGCGTTTCCGCTTCTCTGCCCTCTTTCATGCTCATCAAACAGGACTCTGTGGGCTTTAAAAAATGGTTTATAAACCAGGAATTCCTCCCTCCTGGTGTGCAGATGCCCCTTGCCAAATTTCAGCCCGAGGCCATTCTTCTGGCCTCCTTCAAACCCACCAGAAGAGAGGGTTTGGATGGCAGCGCTGACGTGCTGCTCCTGCCGGGGCCTCAGGCAAAAAGGCGGGCTGGGGAGGGGAAGGGGAGCGTGTGGAGGCTGCGAGAGACCCACACACCCAAAAACCAGCCCCCCCCCAGCCCATCCCTGCAAGTTGCCGGGACCAGACACCAGCTCCTGCTCGCTTTTAACCTCTTTTTTTAGACACTCGAGCAGAAAAATGTCAATTTTTATGCAGTGCCTGCATGGGCAGTAGCCTGCCTGCAGAGCCCTGGGCTGCAGAGCTTTTTAGCCAAAAAACCTGGGGTCGGAAGTGCCCCGCTGCAGGAGGGGTAGGTCCCCGTGGGGATGCGGGTGCTTGGCACCTCTGGGAGATCGGGTGCTCTCTGGAGCTGAGTCTGGTGGTTTAGGAAGATAAAATATCTATCCCTTACCTGGTTAAAGCCCCTCTGTGTTCCAGCTGGGCACGTGCATGAGCACGTGCTGGAGTGCAGGGGGTCTTTAGCACTCCTCCCAGACAAGGGATAGGTATTTTATTTTGAGGCAGAGGGAAGGTTATTCCCCATTGCTCAGGGGACGCTGCCTTTGCACCACGGGGATGGAGGTGGGGGGGTACAGCCCCCCCAGCCCACCTGCTCTGCCCAGGGTTGACAAGGCAGCAAAGGCAGAGTGACAGCAGCGCTGTCGTCGTCGTCGTCGTCCCCCCCCCCCCCCCCCGCCCATGTCACCGAGAGAGCCCTGGGGCAGAGGAGGCAGCATCTCCTCCACTGTCACCACTGATAAACCCGGGATGGGCGACGGGACCGCACGCTGCTTCCTGGTGACCTTGACGGTGCTGCTCTTCCTCTGCCTCACACGTGCAATGAGCTGGGCGGTCTCAGCCTTGCACCTCTGTCTGTCCCACGGGGGGTTGCAGGGCAGGGAGCGGGGCAAGGACAGGATCGCTGTGGCGGAGGGTGAAGCTGCCGGCGGAGGGGATCGGAGATTAGGAGCTGAGGGCAGGGACAGGCAGTGGCAACCCCTCCTGCCTGCATGACTGCCCTGAGCGTCCCCTCCCTTGTCTGAGCACCTCTAACCCCAAGGCACAATTCAGGACAGCCCTGGCTGAGAGGTGGAGGGCAAGAGAGGGGCTGAGGGTCTCAGGCAGAGCAGAGTATATTTTCTAGCTAAGGCTTTTAAGGTTCTTTTTAGCTCTTTCTCTGATTACCCTGTTGCAAAATCCTGGCTTTCAAAGAGCGAGATTAAAAAAAAATGTATATATGTATACTCACACACACACACACACTTGGGATTGTTTGCATTTTCTTTGTGGTTCCTGAGTACATAGCCACATCATTTTTCAAGCTTTGCTGTGCTACCATAACAGCGAGCAACTCGCTTAAAGGGGAAAAAAATCCAAGATTTTTCTCTCTTACCACCATAACTGTTGATGAAGGGTCTTTCTGGGAACGCGATGAATGTGGTTGGATTTGCAGGCAGATCCTGCAGCCTGTGGCTGCTGTGGGCAGTGCAGCCCAGGGAGCCGCTGCTTAGAAACGGGGTGATGGCCGATGGCGTGTGAGTTAGGCAGGATCCAGGCCCCAGCTTCCCAAAATTGGGCAGGAAACATTTTAACCCTCTTTGCCCCGAGACAACAGGACCCACAGGCTCCCCCTGGGGGACCCACACCCCCCTGGGGCTGGTGTTTGGGGCTCCTCATCTCTTGGGGATGCTACAGGGCTCGAGGCAGGTTGGGGGGCACTTTGGTGTGCCACTTGTCCGGGTCAGGATGCAGGGAAGGGCTCGGGGTTGGAAATAGCCCACCTCGGAGAGGGGCTGAAGCCAAAATCACTCTTTATCTGCGCTGGGAAGCTGCAGAGCCTGAAGCATCCCATGGGCAACCCCATCCTCCATGGTAACAGCACCCCGGAGGCAGGAGAAGCTTTGGAGCATCTCCAGGTGCAGCAAGTGGAGTTGCCCGGCCATTGTACAGGGAAAAACCTCCTGCAAAGTCCCCCGGAGGTTTGCAAAACCCTAAGGGATGGTTTGGCGTTTGCTTCAGGTTTGCTCCCTGCCTGCAAAGCCCCAGAGATGAAGGCAGGGCTGGGAGCGTGCTGCTGCCGGTGCAGGGATGATGCCTGAGGACCTTGATGCCGGGTGGCACCAGAAAATAACCCCAAACCCCTCATTAACAGCAGGATTTAAGCCAGGGAATTTGCAGATCTGAGAATTTGGAGTGAGTTAGAGGACTTTTCCCGGAGCATGTGGGTGCAATAGGTTTGCTGCTCGTCACTGCCATCCCCGAGCCAGCAGCACCCTGAAATCATCACAGCACCCTCGGGCTAAATGCAGCCACCCCAGGGATCTTGTGGTGGCTTCATTAGCAGCCAGGATCTTGCGCAAGCTCTCCTCCTAGTACTGCTAATTACACAGTAACAAGCCAGATTAATTGTCTGCCTGTAAATATGCCAGGACGCACTGGGGTGCCTGGTTACCGCCGGGGTGTTCCAAGGGTCACGAGCAGCATCTTGGGGCAGGGGCCAGGTGGCTTTGCCCATATCCTGGATTTCCAAGGAGAGGTTCCATCTGCCTGAATTTTGGGGCTGCTTGGCCTCCCGAAAGACTCCCGACGTCTTGGAGGCTGCAGGTCCCAGGGATATCCCCCACCATCACCCCATTTTGCTCCAAATCGGATTAAAAATTAAAGGTTTTGATGAAAAGCGACGTGGGAGGAGGGTTTGGTCCCCACCGCGCAGGGCCTGATGGGGTTAAAAAATTTGCGGCCGCCTGCAAACTTGCAGGAAGCACCCGAGCATCGTTTCCTACTTCTGCAAAAGCCCGGCTGGCCCGCAGGCACGGGAAGGTTTTGGGGTGCTCGGGGGGATGCTGCTTTGGGGACGCCCAGCGGGGTCACGGTGATGGGGATGTCCCAGGGATGCTGGTACGGGGTGAGTGTACCCCGCACGGGGCCGGTTGCTCCCCCCTGCTCAGCGTTGGGTTGGGGGGATGCTGCGGGGCAGCCGCCGGTGATGCTGGCGTGGTGCTCGGTCCCAGCCACCGGCACGTGGGCAGCTGCCGCCTCCAGCACCCCGTGGCCAAAATTGGGTTGCGGGGTGGGGCTCAGATCTCACCAAGGGGACGTTGCTGGGAAAACCCCGGGGCCTTTCTTGCTACCCGCCTCGCGGTTGGGTTTTCGGCATCCGGCATCTCTCGAGCTGCTGCTGAGGCTCTGGGGACCCCAGCACACCGAGCAGGGGGGCAAGGGCGAGCACCTGCTTTTAGGTCATTGGTGCAGTGAGTGTGCCAGGCCTCTGCTGTGATCTCTCTTTCACTCAGCTCCCGAGAGCTGGAGGGGCCTTGGGGTGCTCCCGCCTCCCCCGGCGCTGTCCCGTGCCACGATGGCACTGCTGACAGTCCCCAAGCTGTGGCTGCCTGGCTGGCGTGACGAGCACGTGGTCTGGGTGTCCCCTGGTGCCCACCCCACTGGGGGAAAAGCCTTTTGGGGTGGCCCTGGGGGGCTCCTTCCCCACGGGGAGCTCAGGGGACTGTTGTGGCCATGGGAGGTGCCACAGCTCCAGCTCCACAGGGTGGGGGGGGAGGCTGGCCTGAGGGTGGGGGGGTTGCTCTTGTCCCCAGGGTCTGGGGGACAAGAGAAGCCCTGGTAGCGGGGCGAGGGGGGTGGGGGGACACCTTGAACGGAACCCACTGTGTCCCGCTGAGCATCCCTCCCTCTCCCTCGCCCCCCCCGCCAGGACGCGGCGGCGATGATGTGACCTACATTCGTGGCAAGGAGGTCCCCAGCCTGCCGTCATGAAGCGGCACAAGTGACGGGGACGCCGTGCCCGCGGGCCATGGCCAGCCCGGCACCATGGCTGCGCTGGACACAAACAGAGCTGACGCGCTGGGAGGGAGAGGAGGAGGAGGAGGAGGGGGAGGAGGAGGAGGAAGAAGACGACTTTGAAAGGCGGATGGACAAGGATGGGGTCATCGGCCTGGGGGAGGATGCTGGGAGCCCACCATGGGGTGAGTCGTCCCCCCCCCGCTGTCCAGAGACCCTTATGGGAGGGTCCCGGGTGTCCCTGGAGCTGAAGGGGGGCTGCGAGGGGGCCGGGGGGCACCGGCTGGCTGGCAGCAGCCCTGAGGCACTGGTGTTTTGCAGGTGACAGCGGGGACCTGGAGGAGGGGTCCGCGGTGGAGGAGGGTCCCTGGTGCCCACGGCAGGACCTGGTGGAGGAGGATGAGGAGCGGGGCAGCTCCGGGGGGGACGAGGGGCCCTGGGGGGCAGAGAGCGATGGGGAGCCCTACCCTGAGCTCTCCTACGAGGGTCAGTGGGGCTCGGGGTCCAGCGGCAGCCCCGAGGCGTTGCGGGATGGCCGGGCTCTCCGCCAGCCCCGCGGCTGCAGCACAGACGGTGGTGACACCTCAGGGCTGTCGGACGCCAGCCCTGGCCCCGCCACCCCGTCCTGCCAGCACCGGGGCTGGGGCACAACTGGGGGCACTGGAGGGGGGCACAGGCAGGGCTGGACCCCGAGCCGGAGCCTCCTCCTGCACCTCTCCACCGATGACCTCTGCGACGCCACCAGCGTCCAGCCTGTCCCCGAGCCCCAGCTGGCTGGGATGGGACGTGCCCCCCCTGCGCCCCAGCTGCAATACAGGTCTCAGGTGCCCAAGAAAGGGGCGCCCACGGTGCCGCCCCCCAAACCCGGCCAGCAGCTGCGGTCCCTGTGCCCCCGGCAGCGGCACACAGGTGGCAAGGAGGAGAGGGGTCCCTCGGGAAAAGGGACCAGCGCGGCCAGTGGCACCCAGTACGGCCGAGGGCGGCTCAACCACCCCCTGCCCGACCTCTCCAAGGTGGAGGCGCGGGTGAAGTTTGACCAGAGCTACCGGCCGCCGCGGGGCCGAGCCCTGCCCGCCCACCCCAGTGCCCCGGGCGGCCCCGTGGGCTTCAAATCCCCGGCTGAAATCGTCCGGGAGGTGCTGCTGAGCAGCGGGGAGGGGGTCCCCCCGCAGCCCCCCACCACCCCTGGGCTGCCGCAGGAGTTCAGGTCGCCCAGGCAAGCCACCCAGCTGGTGCAGCAGCTCCAGGTAACGCCCGGCTCCCCCCAGTTCAGCCAGAGAAGCCTTACTGGGAGGGTCTCCGGGGCGGGGGGGGACCGGGGGGGGGGGGAGGGGGTGCAGGTGTCACCCCAGCCCCATGAGCCGGCCCTGGGTGTTGGTCACCTCTCCCCCATCCTGCGTGGGGGCTGGTGAGGAGGGAAGGACCAGGCAGGGATGTGGGCAGTGCTCAGGGCTGGAGGCAGGGATGTTCGTGTCCATTGTCATCCCCCCCCCCCCCCCCCCCCCGATGCTTGTCACCCCCAGGATGCATGTCCCCTGGGGTCCCCTCCTGTCCCCTGAGAAGAGAGGGAAGCCTTCCTGCACACAGAGAAACAGGGGCCACATCTGCACCTGATGAGCCGAGTGCTTTGGGGGGGTGGGTTTCTGCACCCCAAGGTGTCCCCCACCCATGGGACACCACCCCACCCCGCCCCCCCCTTGTCACCCCCACCCAGGGATGTCTCCCTCCTTGCCACATCCCCACCCACCCCTCGGGCATCCTCCAAGCCCCCCGTCCCCGCTCCGGGTGCTGTCACCCACTGGGTGCCCCCTCCCCGCAGGACGACTACCACAAGCTGCTGACGAAGTACGCCGAGGCCGAAAACACCATCGACCAACTGCGCCTGGGTGCCAGGGTGGGTGCTGGGGGCGCTGGGATGGCTGGGGGGGGGGGGCTCCCCGCTCTGCTTCCCCCTCCCCGGGGTTATACAAGGTGTCTTCCTCCCCCCAGCCCCCCCCTGCTCTTCCTCCTTCTGCGGAGCGGTGGTTGAGCAAGCCCAGCCCAGGGAGGGGGGGGGGGGGGGGTTGAAGCTGCCACAGAGCCCACAGCAAAAGTGGGGGCTGCTGTGCCCCCCCCCCCTTGCCTGGCAGGCACCCCTCCGTGCCAGGAAGGTGATGGAGCCAAAAGGGCTCTGAAATGGCGGGGTGGGGGGTGGCTGCAGGGCCCGTCCCTGAAATGGCAGGACAGCAGGCAGAAGCACGTCCCCGTGTCACCCGTGCCACCCCCCGCCCTGCCCCACTGTGCGGGTGGGGAAACTGAGGCAGGGCTGGTGTCTGGCTGTGCCCCCCCCACCACCACCTTTTCCCCCACCAGCCTGCTGTCCCCGTGGGAACGGCTGCTCCAGGGTGCCAGGGGGGATGGTGGGGGGAGCCCGGCCGGGTGGGCAGTGGGGCAGGGTGGGTGCCCGAATCCCCTCTCCCCACCCCCAGGTGAGCCTGTACGCCGACCCGCCGCCGCCCAGCCGCAGCCTCGCCGTGGGCACCGTGGGCACCGTGGGCACCGTGGGCCGGGGCTGCCGGGTGATGGCCCTCAGCATCCCACAGGCCCGGACGGCGGCTCTCAGCGCGGCCCCGGCCCCCCCATGCTCACCGGGTGCAGGTGGGTTGAAAAGCGTTTCCCTGTCCTGCTCATCACCCTCCCACTCTGTTTTGTTTGGTTTTTTTTTTTTTTTTCAGGGGGGGGGGCGTTCAGCCCCATACCCACAGCTTCCCCATGGTGTGGGGGACCAGTGCTGGGTGGCGGGGGGGGGTGGTATGTCCCCAACATCACCTTGTCCTCGTCTTTTCTTGCAGCTCCAGGACCACCCGAGCCGGGGGGGTCACCCCAACAGCCTTCCCCGCCTCCACCCGCGGGGGGCTGCCCGGGGACCCAGCTGACACAGACACTGGCGGGACAGACCCACAAGCTGCGGGCACAGGCAAGCCCCGGGGGGAAAAAAGGACACGCGGGGTGTGTGTGTGGGGGGGGGGGCTGCGGTGGTGGGGGGCGCTGCAGCAAGGCTGGGCTCAGCCCTTGCTCTCCTGGCCAGGTGGAAACCTTCGAAGGCTGGATGCAAGCGGGGGACCCCGCGCCCCGGGAGCAGCTCTGGGTGAGTCAGCCCCATCCCGGTACCCCATCCCGGGGTGGGGGGTGGGGGTGGCAGGGTCGGGGGGGGGGTGGCGGGGGCCAAGCTGGCAGGCTCAGCCATCACCGCTGTTGTGCCACAGAGGTTTAGGAAGCTGAAGGAGGCGCAGGATGCGCTGGAGCGGGCGTACCTGCGGGCCCGGCAGCAGCACCCAGGGGCTTTGGGGGAGTTTGACCCCGAACGGTGAGTGCTTGACCCCCCCGCACTGCGCCCTCCCCGCCGCCTGAGCCCCGGACCCGTACGCCGGGTTTGGCGTCTCCCCGGCGCTGACGGCTGCTGTCTTGCAGCGCGGTGGAAGGGGAGATTTTCCAGCTGGGGCTGCGCCTGGAGGAGCTGAAGGAGCGGTTGGAGCCCAGGGCCAGGCGGCAGCTCCCCCCGCAGCACCCAGCCCAGCCCCGCTCCCCTCCAGCCCCTTCCTCGCCACCGCCCGCCCGCTCCCCACACCCTGAGGTGAGCGCATGGGGCCGGGGGGGGGTGCAAAGATGTTGGGGTCGGGGCACCCTCCTGCGGGAGTCGTGCTTCTCCAACCCCACTTTTTCCATGCCCCGCAGAGCCCTGTGCTGATGGAGGGCCCCCAGGGGACAGTGGGGGACAGTGAGGAGGCGACGGGGAGGTTGCCCCGGCCCCTCTGGCACAAGCAGCTCCGAGTGGAGGAGGATTTTGGTGACCTGCTGGAGCAGTGAGTGTCCTCGCGGCAGGAAGGGGGGGGATGCGGGCAGGGAGCAGCTCCCCAAAACCACCAACTCCTGCCTGCGGGTTCCCCCCAGGTACAACCACTTCAAGTCCTTGCCGGAGTCACTGAGCCTGGAGCAGCTGAGCCTGGCAGAGAGCGGGTCCCAAGAGGAGGCGGATGGACCTGCAGCAGAGGACAGTGGCCCCAGCAAGGTCCCCTCCAGGACACAGTCACTAGAGGAAGGGACTGACCTCGAGACCTCCCCCTTGTAAGTGTCGTGGGAAAACAGGCAGGGCAAGCGAGAGGTTTTACATCAGGTCTTGGGTTTTTACATCACTGGCATTGATAGGCTTCAGAGTTAACAGCCTCCACGGGAGAGCTGGCTGCACCAGGGCATTTCCCCACATTTGGGGTTGCTCTGCCCCATCGGTCATGCTCCGTCCTTTCCCTGCAGGCACCCCCCAGAGAGAAGAGCCGCGCCGCTGCCCCCCAGGGAGTCCCCATGGCCAGAGGGGCCACAGGGCCACCTGTCCCCCACCACCACTGAGAAGCCACCGGCCACAGCCAAGCCCCTCCTGGGACTCCCTGGGCCACCACGGGGGCCCCTGTCCCCTCAGGGCAGCAGGGTGGGCAGCGCTGCTGCCCAGCCCCGGCCCCGCAAGGCAAGTCCCCTGGGACTGGGGGTCCCCACTTGTCAACACCCCCAGAACCCTGTTGGGGGGTCCCTGGGGGTGCTCAGCACCAACCCTGCTCTCTTCGACGCGTCTGTAGGAGCAGCGGATTGTGTCACCGGAGACAGACAGCGGCTTCGTGGGCTCGGAGGCCAGCAGGGTGTCCCCCCCCGTACACACCCCCGAGCACCGGCCCCCCGGCACCGGGTACATCCCTCGCCCCGGGGAGGGGATTCAGGGACATGGGCTGTCGGCTCTGTCTGGGGGGATTTGGGACATCGAAGGGGAGTGGGATGATAGGGAGAGGCGGTGAGGGTGTGGGGAGCAGGGCGGGGGTGCTGGGGGGGGGTTGGAGTTGGGCGAGGTGGCCCATGGCAATCAGAGAAGCTGCCTGCGTGACCTGTCCCATCCCCAGGACCCCCGGCTCACTGGGACTCTCCATCCCCGTCCCCACCACCCTCCGTCCTCCGCGGAAGAGAGAGGTGACCCCACTTCCCTCCGAGACGGCGCCGATGGGCATCTACCCTGGAGGCAGGCAGGGCGGCACGGGGGGGCCCCGCCTGCCCCCCTGCACCCCCTCGCAGAGCGGCTCCCCCCGCCGCTGGGCCGGGAGCGCGGGCAGCGAGGGGGGACCCAACGGGGACAGCAGTGAGTAGGCAGCACTTTGGGGAGGGACATGTCCCTGGGGAGAGAGATCTGGGGGGGGGCCCTGCGGGTGGAAGAGGCTCTGGTTTATGGTGTTTCCCCAAACCCCCTTGGGGTGCTGGGTTGGGGGTGCCTCCCGCCTGCTGACTCTGCTCTCCTGGGTCTCTCCTGGGGCAGGGGGGGACACCCCCCCATGTCCCACCTTGCCAACCTCACCGTATCCCCCCCTCCCCTCAGCTCACACGGACTCCGAGGTGGAAGGCAGGAGTTGTGCCAGCGCCAGCGGCTGCCCCCCCGCCACGGCCAGGGGCCCAGCCAGCCCCCCACCGTCCCCTGAAACACCGTCCCCCACCACCCTGTCCCCCGATCTGCTGTCCCTCAACCTGGCTCGCTGCGACCTGCTGGGCTCCCGTCTGGAGCGTGAGTGAGTGTCTGGGTACCCCCCTCCCAAACTGGGACAAACCCCCTCCCTGGGTGCCACAGGGACCTCACCAAGCAAAGTCCCCACAGGCAGCAGCAGGTTTTCTCTTGGAGAGGCGGGACCTAGCTGGGGCTGAGCCCTACAAACTCGTGACACGCGTGGGCTGGCTGAGCGTGGACCCCAGCCCAGAGAACCCCCCCAGGCTTGGTTTTGGGGAACATCACAGCATGAGCTACCGGGTCCTGACCGGTTGGGGATGGGGGGACAGGCACAGGGCCCGGGGAGGACGGGGCTGCCCCTCACCGTGGCATCTGTCCTGTGGCAGCCAGGCCATCCGGGTGCTGCGGGACGAGGTGTGGCGGCTGCGGCGGAGGCTGGAGGAGAGCCTGCGCCGCTCCCGCAGCTATCCCGAAGGAAAAGCCGCCCCCCGTGCGCCCCTGGCCGGGAGGCAACCGGTGGCCAACGGACCATCGTCCCCCGAGGACGCAGCACCCTCGGGGTAGGTGGCAGGAGGGATCTGGGGGGGGGTGTGGGGGGGTGGCAGGAGCCACCCCTGGTTGGGGCAGCGCTGTGTCCCGTGGGCGTGGGGGCACCCCCAGCCCCAGCCTGTGCCATTTTGCTGCGACTGGGGAGAGGTTGGGCTTGGGAATGGGGAGGGGGGACACTGGCAGCGTGGCTGCATCGGGGTGGTGGGTTGGGGGGGGGGTGTGATGACTGAGGGGGACACTGAGGAGTCAGCGGAGGGTGACGGTGGCTCTGTCCCCTCCGCAGGGAGCCGAGCCCCCCGGTGCGGGGTAGGGTGGCCCCCGGGGTCGCACCCACGAGGAGGGGGAGGTCGGCATCGCTGCCACGGGACAGGCCGGAGCTGGACCTCAGTAAGTGGGACCCCACCGGGGTGGGGACAGCGGGGACATGCTCCTCCCTGCACGCCACTTCCCCAAACAGGGTGCTGGGGGGGCGCTGAGGGGGACCTGGCAGGTCCCGGTGACCCCCCTGGGACCCAGCAGCGCTCAGCCCAGGGCCCGATCCCACCCCACTCCCCTCTTCTCCTCCTCCACCACAGCCTCCGAGTCGGACCCCTCGCCCACCAGACCCCCGGCCACCCCCTCCCCGCAGAAGAGCCCTGGGAGCCCCCCGGGCGTGGTGACATTGAGGGGACAATACACAGGTGGGTGCCAGCGGTGGTCGGTGCCGGAGGGCCGAGGGTGCCCGCCCCCGTGTCGGGGTCCCCGCTCACGCTGGGTTTTGGCAGGGACACGGTACCAGGCGGGGACACCACGCGTCGCCCCGGCACCCCGAGATGAGCCGGGCACCCCGGGGTGCCCCCGGTGCCGTGGGAGCCGGACACCGTCGGGTGAGTGGCCCCAGGAGCAGCCCCCCAGCCCCTTCTCTAACACCTGCTAACGGAGCTGCTAATGACTTTAATTCATTAACTACAGAGGCTCGGGGAGAGGGGGGATATGGGGCGCAGCCTGGGGGGTCTCCCCACTCCCCCCTGTCCTGGGGTTCCCTCCCCGCGCCCTGCCGCTGGCTGCGGCTGCCGAGGTCACTGGGGGCCTGTCCCCAGCCCTGTCCCTTCGCTGCAGGTGAACCTGGGCTGCTCCCGGGGAACAGCACACAGCCGGGCCGGGCTGTGTCCCCTGCTGCCTGCAACTGAGCTGGGTGCATGGCAGAGCGCTCCGCAGACCCCCCGCCCCGCCGTTTTAAAGAGCCCCCCCCCCCCTCCTTTACAAACTTCTCCCCTCCCTTTTGCAGCCCACTCACTTTTTGCACCACCCCCCAGCCCTTCTTTTGCAGACCATCCTTTTTAGACCCCCTCCCTTTTTGCAGACTCTCCTTTTGCAGCCCCCCCATTTGCAGCCGCCCCTGCAGGGACCCCCCCCCCCCCCCCCGCTCCCGTCCCAGCGGCTCCCCCAAACCTCTCTCCTCCTTCCAAGCCTCCCTTGCTTGCCCTGTGTGCTGGGGTGATCCCGGACACGCTCGCCCCTCTCTCCACAGCTGGCTCCCGGGTGGGCGATGCCATGGGGCAGCCCCAGCACAGCACCCCGAGGAGGACACGCTGCCCCACTTGCCGGGCACCCATGGGTGTCCCCACGCCCGGTGGCAAGGACGGAGCCACGCACGGTGGGTGACGGGGATGGGTGGCCCGTGCTCGTCCCACCTCGTCCCTGCGGGGGGGGCTGGGGTGGAGGGGGCAGGGAACAGACCCCCGGCACAGCGCTGGCACACTGCTTGGGGACAGAAGTGACAGCCAGCGGTGCCACCACCAGCTCCCCGCGGGCAGGGGTGTTTGCACCCAGCAGTGCCAGCCCGGTGTGGCACTGGGGCTCACCTGGGGGTGCCGCTTGCTGCACCCCCCGCCCCCCCGGGGGCATCTCATCCCCCCCCTGGGGGCAGCTGACTGCCTTCCTCCCCGCAGCAGAGCGTGGCCCCGGTGACACGTCCCCCCCAGGCTCCCACGTCGGTCCCCGAGCCGAGAAGCCAGAGCAGCCCGGACTTTGGTACTTGACAGCCAGCCCTGGTGCCACCGCTGCCATCGGCTGCCTTGCACCCGTCCCCCTCGTGCCTTACACCCCCTCCGTGCTGTAAGGATGCTGTGGCGGGGGGGGTCGGGGTGGGGGGGTCAGCATCTCCCTGGGGAGGAGGGTGAACCCAGGAGGGGCTGTGGCCACCCGAGGGACCCGCTGGTTTGCCCACGGAGCCCAGGCTGGGAGTGGGGTCGTGCAGCCCTCAGCTCCTTTTTGGGGGAAAGGGTGTGTGTGGGGGGGGTGTCTGTGTGGGGGTGAGCGCGGGGAGATGGGTGCTGGGGGTTGGGGATGGATGAGAAAAGGGAGAGGGATGAAAAATTAGGCAGCGTGGAGGCCCAGAGCCCTGGGGAGGCACAGCTCATGGAGCAAAGCCGAGCCCATGTCCCCTTCTTCTTCCCAGCTACTGCTCCCCGGCGGTACCTACCTCAGCCCCAGCCGTGGCCGGGGTCCCCCTCCAACACGCCGCGGGGCACCGGCGGGCCGAGCCCCCCCCCCGGCCGCACACCCCTGGCCACCACCGCTGCCTGACCCTGGCCCTGGATGAGTTGGAGGAGCTGAACCGGTCGCTGAGCCGGGCCGCGGCGGCTGCCCAGGGCGTGCGGGTCACCACCACCCGCATGAGCCGGGCGCTGGCTGCCGAGCTGAGCCGGGCGCGGGACCTGCGGGGCTCCTGCCTCTTCTGAGGGTCCTGACAGACCTTCCCGGCGCTGGCGGGGGGGCAAGGAGGGGGAGGACGGTCCCCCCCCCCCCCCCAACCCCGATCAGCAATCCCCGCACTGCTGGGTGCTCCCTGCCAGATCTGGGGGTGCCAGGGCTGGGGGGCATCTCCGCGGGATCCGGCACCAGCTCCCATCCCGCTTGTCCTAGAGCTCTCGCATCGCTTGTCCGGCTGTCTGTCCGTTTTCAGGACACACACCCCCTCCCCTCCAAGCTGCGGGAGTGGGGGGCAAAAGGTGGGCAGAGGTCTCCCTGGGGGTGCGAGCATGGCCCTGGCAGGAGGGCACCGTCCCCCAGGACCAACAGGGTGACCCGGTGCCCCCCCCCCCCCCAAGGCTGACACCACCCCGAGCTGAGCGCTTCTGGGGGTGCTCTGACTTTGTGTAGGTCCTACTGCAACCCAGGTGGAGCCCCCAGTGTTTACTTCCACACCTGCGTGGGCAGAAATACCCGCGATTCCCTGTTCAAGTCCTCTCCCAGACTTTGGGCGTCCTCGGGGGGCTCAGTGCCGGGGTTCAGCCCGTGTGCCCCCCCTCTGCCCTTGGCCTTGACCTGAGCCCAGCCCTCCCTGGGAAGGGAGCTCTTTTGGGAGTTTTCTGTGAATTTATTTTCTCAAAGGTAGCTAGTAAGCAGCTAAATCACTCTTTTAGGGTTGATCGATGGTATGTAACTTGTGTATGTATCTGTATGTATCTATATAGATACATATGGGTGGTCTGGTTTTAATTTCCAGCATAATCCTTAGGGCATTTTTGTGGGGTTTTTTGGCCATCTCTGGATGTGGCTGCCCACAGTGTCATCCAGGCAGAAAAAAAAAAAAAAAAAAAAAAAAAAAAAGAAGGATTTGGGGTTTTCCTCGAGATTCCCAGGGGATCTAGGCTGGTCGAGGAGAAATCACTCCATGAGTCTGAGGCAGGGGTAGGATCTGGCCCCGGGGGGGTCTGCAGAGCCCCTGTACCTCCGGGCTGGTTTTGTAAGGAGTTAATGCCTGTTTTTTCATGAAGTGGATGTGGTCGGAGCAGCCCTTGGCACAGTACCTCAGAGGTGGGTGCTCTGCACCCCACAAACCCTGGGGGGACCCTCCAGCACCCCTGTGGAACCTGTACCCTGTGCCCCCCGGGATGGGTCCAGCCAAACCCACCCCCCCCACACCCCCCATGCATCTCAGCCTGCAGTGCCCCTGGCCGTGTTTACGTGTAGGACCTACCTAAAGTGCCCGTGTCAAATTTATTTATTTTTGAATTTTTGTTGTACGAAGACCCACATTTGTGTGTGGGTGGTGGTGGTGGGGGGGGATCACTAACTCTCCTGGCGAGTTACTCAGGTCTAGAGCCTCCCCAAGCGCTTGCAAAGCCACTGAGCCTGGATCCTGCAACCCCGGGGGGGGGCACGGGGGGGACTGGCAATGGGGCTGCCCCTGACGCGGCCCTTTGGGGGGAGAGGGGTGGGCTGGGGGCATGTGGGGGGGATTTTAATGAGATTTCCGTGTCTCTGGGTGCATCTGCTCGTACCGGTGTCCCAAGCGAGCACTTGGAGCGTGCAGCTGTATTTAACTGTCCCAAATGCAAAAGCCAGGAGCAAAGATGATGGGTTTTTTCCGTATCTCCTATTTTGTAATGACCAGATGAGCCATTTGGATGATATTTTGTACTAAGATAATCGCCTATTTTTGAACGAAATAAACGTGGTTGGTTGGCTTGTGGGTTTTTCTTCCTTTTCAAAGCCATTTCTCCAGTGAGTTTTGGCGGCACCACACCAGGATCTCTGCCTTGGAGGCATTTGGGGTTTGGTGAGAATATCTCCCCAGGCCTTTCCCTCGCCTGCCTGGCCCCCGAGCAAGCGGCATGGCACAGCCCTGGTTGCACTAGGGATGGAGATCGCTTTTATTTAGTCACTCGAGTGCTTTAGTACAGAACAGATATACAGAGATGATACATGTTTGTGCTTCAACACTTTCAAACATTTAGATTCCAGTAATTTCAAGGTAAACAAGTTCCAAGACAGACTAGATTTTTTTTAAGTTTTCCTTTTTGATAAATTATTTTTTATATAAATAACTGTAACAGAAAAAAAAAATATAATGTCCAACATACAAGATCCTGAAGCATTTGCATTGCTAAACCAAGAAGGAACTCAAACGGGGTGGGTGGACCAAGGAGGAACCAACAAATATCAGTGCAATGATACAGCCTTTGCCCTAAAAATATATATTTAACTTTATGGGCAAGGAACAGACGGGCAGGGAAGGAGGGGCTAACCACCAACGAGGCAAGAAAGATTCTGGGGAAGGAAAAGGAGATCACAGCCTTCAGGGGGAGAGAACAAAACAATGGACCCCAAAATATTGCAGTGCATCTAACGGCAGGGGAGGGCGGGGGGCAATCCTTGGGTGTAAAATAAAAAAAAAAAGTAAAATCAGAGGTTTGGTTAAATCACTATACACCAAGCTTGTAAGAACGTCACAAGACACAGTCATTAATATACACAGAGTCTGGAGAGGGGGGCCCAGAGGGTGGGGGGGGGCCTCGGGGCAACGGCACGCTCAGAAACGCTTCACCACGGGACGACACGAGCAGAGCCGGGCACGGGGGTGCCGAGCTTCCGTGGGGATGGATGGAGAGATAGATATATATAAAAATTAGTATTTTTTTTTTCTATATATATATCTCTATATGCATTTTAAGGAATACCCAGAGAGGGGGAGGCCGGGCTGCAGCAGGGCAGAGGAGCGGCTGTGCAAGCAAACAAGCCCCATCTCCAGGTTTTGACCATTTTGGTCCCTTTTCACACGGGAATTGCCACAGTGTGAAGCATCCCGGGTGCACACCCCTCCCCACCCCCCCCCCCCCCCCAAACCCCGTGCCAGGTGTTGGCATGCACATCTGGCAGGAGCACCCACCACCCTGGAAAGGCAAGGGACAGGAGACGGTGGCGGGGGATCCCCGGCCGGGAGCGAGCAGCCGGCCCTCCGTCCATCCACACAGGACCCCAATGAGGAGCGAAACTTTTGGAAAAAGGTGGTTGTTTTTTTTGGGGTTTTTGTTTTTTTTTTTTTTTTTTGTCATAATCATTCACTAGCAATGAGCAGATGGGTTACTCAGCAATGAGCTCCTGGGTGCTTCGGATAGCTGCAGCTACAAATATATAGTTGTTTTTTTTTTTTTCCCTTTTCCTCTTTTAAACACAATGCATTGGTTTTCTTAGTATTTTTCAGCTGTTGTCCCCTCCCTGTGGATAAAATGAGATGGGGAAGGCGGCGGGAGGGGAGGAGGGGGTCAACACAAGAACAAGAGAGAAAGCTGGGCTGGGCGGGGGCCGGGGCTGGGCGCAGAATCGCACCCCGGGCCTGGCGCCCGGCGGGGAAGGTGAATTCGGCATCGAGTCGGTGGCGGCGTTTCCTTTTAACTGCTGCTTTCTTCCTCTGTTTTATTGAGTTTCTTCAGCGTGTCCAGCAGTTTCTGTGGGGTGAGGATGTGCGTGGACCCTGTGGGAAAGGAAAGAAAGGAAAGGAAGTGGTGGGGGGAGCATCAGTGACGGCTTCGGGACCCCCACCCCCCCCCACCCCCCCATTGCGCCCCGGCCGCCGGCCCCGCTGTCCCCGGCCCCCCCCGGCGAGGCCTTACCTGGCGGCGACGGCCCCGCGCGCCGGTGGAAATGCTTGCGAGAAAATGTCTATGGACGGGGAGGGATAACGGGAAAGGAACGGAAAAGGAGAAATGAAGGAGATGGTATGGAGCTGGGCGGGATGAGGCGGGGGCCGGGAGGTGCCCGTGCAGCGGGGTCGTGGCCGGTGGGGTCCCTCCTGGATGCTTTGGGGATGCAGGAGGCACTGGCCAAAAAGCCACGGGGGTGCAGGGGGTGGGAGGTGCGGGCAGGCAGGGACTGTGTGTGGCAGGTCCCTCGGCTCTTCCCCTGCCTGCACGGAGCGGGGCTGGGACAAAGAGGGGTGGGAGGGGGGAGGAAAAGGGCTCTTGCTTTTCGCTGCCCCTTGCCCGGCAGCAGCTGGCCCCCACTGGCCGCCCAGCCCCCCCGGGCAGCGGTGGCTCAAACCGCCGGCAGCTCAACCCTGGCACAGGGTTCGGGGGTCTGCAACGTCCTGGGGGGGGGCTCCCGCCCATCCAAGGGCACCGAACGCCGCCAGAGCAAACCTGAGCTTTCCCATCACCTCGGGATTTCAGCCTCATCGTACCCTGGAGCTGGGGGGGGTATGTGTGTGGGGGGGGGGTGTCACGGCAGCGCCCACCCTTGGCTCGGGGGTGGCGAGAAGAGCCGGAGCTGGGCCAAGCGCCGGGGTCTGCCCCGTGTGCCCGCCGCTGCCTGCTCTCCCCCGGGCACCCAACCTCCAGCCCCGCTCCAGGGCAGCATCCCGGGGCGCTCCGGCCCCCTGCCCGGCCCCCGGGGGGGGGGGGGGGGGGTGTCTCTGCCGGGCAGGCAGGACCCCGACACGCCACCCCCGGCCCCGGCGAGGGGGAACTCATGGCATGAAGGAGCCGGCCAGGTCTGGCCCGAGAGACATGGCAGAGGGGTGATGGAAGCGGCGCTGGATGCTTTTCCACCTGGTAGGAGGAACTGCAAGCATTTTCTTATTGGAGACCCAAACGGAAACGAAACCCAAAATAATAATTAAAGAAAGGAGGAACGGAAGAATCAAAGAAAACCCTTCGGGGAGGAAGAGTTTCTTTTTCGTTAGTAAGCTGCCTTTACTTGGTTTCTTTGGCTCACTCCATTGCTGGAGCCTGATCCTCAAATGATACCCTAGTAGAGTCCCTGAAGTCGGGGTGCCTCAGGTCCATGAGAAATTTGGTGGGAGTGAGAATGTGAGTAGAACCTGCAGGAGAACAGAGCGGGGCTGACGGCTGCGCCAAGACCGCCCCCACCCCCATTTTTCGGGGCGAGGAAGGACGCGGTTGCCACCCGGAGCATCGTAGGCGCATGCAGGGGACGGTCCCCGGATGAGATGGGCGAGAGGCAGGATGGAGCTGGGCGGTGCTGGTGGGGCTGGAGGCAGAGGGGACACGGCTGGGGGCTGCGGGAGGTGATGGAGAGGGGGCTGCTGCTCCCAGGGGAATACAAGGAGCAGATAAGACACTGACAAGAGGCTCTACCAGGCAAGAATCCAGGGACCAGATGAGACTGTGAGGGGCTCCTGCCCCTGCCCTACAAGGTGTGTATCCAGCTGTGCTTCCCCAGGGGATTTTTAGGGGACCTAAAAAGCTCCTTGCTCAATGTGGCAGGACTTCCACCGCGTCCTCCACGCCTGCCCACGGCTCCTCCGGGAGCGCAGCCGGGGTGCTCAGACTGAGCACGCCACGCGCGCCCTGTTGCACGTGCATTGCGTGTGTGCAGCCGGGCACGCAGCACACGTGCAACAGGCAAATGCATGTCCTGTTGCACACGCAGTGCACACCGTGGTTGGCGAGTGGTGTTGCACACCTCTTTATTTCGTGTGTTTTGTTGTTTTTTTTTTTTTTTTTTTTCTCCCTGTAGCGACGCTGAGGACGAGCGTGCAACGTGGGTGCGACAGGAGCGACTCAAGCCGCAAAAAAAAACCCCCCTTCCTTTTCACTCAGCTCTGCTTGAACACGACCAGCCAGGGGGAGGAAAAATGGGAGCAAAACCAGGGAGGGGTGGAGGGACGTACCCTGTCCCTGCGGATAGGGGACAGAGAGGTGACATCAGGCAGCAGGAGACCTTCCCGCAGAGCTCCTGCTCATCCCGAGCCGGGAATTCGCGGGGTGGCGGAGGCAGCGTGGGATGAGCAGCCAGCGCGACGGGGCGCAGGGTCCGGCCCCGGGTCCCACTCACCTATTAGCACTTCCCACTTGCCGCTGGCTTGCGTCACCTCGTAGGCGCAGCGCATCTCGTTCATGCTGACGCCGCCCAGGATGAAGATGATGAGGCGGGGGCCGCTTCGGTACTCGCCGGGGGCCTTGTTCTTGTGCCAGTGGCCGTAGCGGGCACTAGAGAGAGGGAGAGAAGGATGAAGGATGAGCTCAAGGCAACACTGAGTTCACATCTTAACTAAACCACGTATTAATTAGCTCCCAGATTGCTGCCAGAGCAGGGAGAAGTCCAGCTTTCCAGCCACGAGCGCTGCTCGTGTTGCAGGTAGGGAAACTGAGGCACGGCGTGCCAAAATGGCAGCAGAGCAGCTCACAGATCTGCTGATGGATACAGCTCCTCCGGGCAGGCGAGAGGTGGACGCCAATGGTGCTATAGGTGCCAACGTACAGGGGGAGGGTGGGGGCACGGGGGACCCACCTGACGGCAGTGGTGCTGAAGGAGGCGGAGGAGCGGGTGGAGATGTACGGGTAGTGCTTGGTGTCCAGCTTGTCATCGATGGCATCCTGCGGGCAGAGAGCCCCGGGGGGTGGGTCAGCAAGGAGCAGGGCATGGCCCCTGGCCCTAGAACCCCTCTGCAGCGCTGCGCCCAGGAGGCCGGGCCCAACTGGGACGGGATCGGTGGCATATAATTGCGTAGCTTTGCTTTTTGGAACAATTTGGCTGTGGTTCTGTAATGGGGTGTGCTTAGGGGGAGGAGGGAGGTGCTGGGGACCGCAGAGGGGCTGCAGCACAGGGGTACAGGGGTGAGGCTCGCCTTGAGTTTGGGGGTGTCTGCGGAGGTAGGGTAAGGGGGGGCCAGGGCAGGGGCCTCTCCTAAAAAGCTCAGGGGTGTGAGCTGAGCTGGAGGCTTCACACCTGTGATCCAGCCCCGGGGGTAAGGGGCCTGCTCTTGCTTTCATCAGCCGTGCAGGGCTGATGCCACCTGGGAGGTGTTGCTGCCCTGTGCTGAGCCCTCTGGCCCTGGGGATGGGGTTGAGGGGTATCCTGGGCACGGAGCCACCCCGGGAGGGTTTGTGCGGACGGTGGTAGAGGAAGGCGAGAGCTGTGCGCTTTTGGAAACCGAAGGGAGCTGCGGCTCCACTTGTCATGGGTGCCTGGGAGCAGAGGTGGCACTGAACCCCTCCCCAAAATGTGGCTCCAGGGTCTGTCTGTCTGTCTGAGCAGGTGGGAAATGTCTGTGTTGGGGGGCAGGTTTGGTGCCCGGGATCCCCCCAGCTCTGAGCAAACCCCCAGCAGGTTGCTCTGATTCAAGGGGTGATCGGGAGGGAGCGGGTCAGGATGAAGGCAGTGCCTGGAAAAAAAATCACTTTTTGGCTCTGCCTGGTGCTACCTGAGCACAGAGCACGTGGGGCAGCTCCTGTGGGTACAGGCAGGGCTGTGCCTGTGGGCAGCGGTGAACGGTGCCATGTCCATCCCCCTGCCCAGCTGGGACTACGCTGTGACAAGGCCACCCGGCCGTGCTCGCCGTGGGACATGGTGTGGCACAAGGAGCAACCAGTTTGTTATCACATTTTGTACTGCGGGGATGCCATGCAAGCTGGGCCGGGGCTGCACATCCCACCTGGGGCCAGCATGTACATGGGGGGGACAGGAAAACCTCCCAAAACTTCCCAACCTTGTTGCAATTGCAGGTAGGGAGCAGCCTGGAGGGGACAGTCAGGGAGAGGTGTCAGGATTTGGGCTGGAAGCACCCAGCTCTCTGCAGGTCCCTTCCTGGGCAGTGCTGAGGTCTCTGCTCCATCTCCCATCCCCATCCTTGCTGGCTCACCTCCATGATGTCCTTAATTACGGGGGTCCATCGGGAGAGCTGGTAGGTCTGCTCACTGATCCGCTCCTTCCGCTCCGGCTTGCTCCGGCGGCGCAGGGTGGACTGGGCAGAAGGAGCACAGGGACACCCTGAGACACGGGGGCTCCGGCCGTGGGATCGGGGACACCCCAGGGGGGGTGCTGGGGCCACCCCGGGAGGGTGCTGGGGCCACCCCGGGGGGGTACGTGGTCCTCCCGAGGGGCAAGGAGGGCTGCGGGGAGCGGGCGGTGGACACTCACGTCTGTGATGATGGGCACCCCGAGGTGGGCCATGTTGGTGATGATCTCGCTGTCCTCCGCCGGGATCTGAGCGTGCTGGATCAGCTTGTTCAGGTTCTCCTCAGTGATACCTGGAAACGCAACGGGGAGATGGTGTCCCCAGAAATGCCTCCCGGTGGGGACACAGCCCCACCGTTGTCACCTCAGGACGGACACCTGGCCTACTGGTGGTCAGGGCGACAGTGCTGAGCTTTTTCATCTGGTTTATCTTGGCTGAACCCTGAGCTGTTTGCCACCCGGAGCTGCCTGCGCGTCTTGCCCTCCCCTGCCCAGGTGTCCTCCTCACCGTTCTTCAGGAAGATGTAGAGCAGGATGATGCGGATCTTGTCATAGGTGCTGACATTCCCATCCAGCAGGATGGGGACGATGGCCCTCATGGGGTCCTTGATCTTCTCGCCTTCAGCATCAGTGCCCATGGCCAGGTCCTGCAGAGAACGCACGTGCTCATCACCCCTCAACCTGTGGCTCGGTGCTGAGCTGTGGGGCAGGAGCCGCCGGCCCCAGTTGTCCCCGTGGGGATGGGGGATATGGGGCAGGGGAAGCCAGTACCTGTTCCACTCTGCAGAGCTTGTCCACTGTGCCCTGGTAGTGCTTCATGCAGTCCTCAGCCAGGTGCAGGTGGGTTGAGTACTGGGGAGACACAAGCAGCGCGGCCACCCTTGCAGTGCTGGCAGCAGCCAAAGGTCCCCGTGCCACCACGCTGGCCGCAGCCCCTGCCCGTGGCCGGGGACCCCCTGGGGAGAGCTGCCATCGCCCACTCGGCACGGACATCCCCCCGCTCCTCCTCGTACCTTGCTGAGCTCCTTCTGGTACTGCGGCATCTTCTTCAGCATCTGGGACAGGTCTCTCATGGTGGTCTGCAAGGGAAAGGGACGCGGTCGCTCACCCCCGGGGACTTAGGGACCACGAGCAGAGAGGGGGTGACCCTGCCAAGGACTTCTGTCCCCCCCGTGCAAGCCCCTCGCGGGGGTTTGGTGACGCCTGCTGTGGCATTGCTGGGTCTCCTCTGCTGCAGCTGAGGGGCAGGGAGGGGGTCTGCAGCTTTGCAAACTGGAATGCTGGGGGTAGAAATCCCCTGAGGACTCTTCTGCAAGACCCCCGTGCGCTTGGCCGAGGCTGAGATGGTGCTTTTAGCTTCTGGCCACTCTGACATCCTATTTCCACCGGGGTCCCCTCACTGCCACCAACTCAGGGCCTCAAGAAGGGAACTGGCTGGGGACAGAGGCAGCCACTGTGGGATGGGCACGGACCCCATGCTGGGGGCAAACAGACCCCTGGGGCACAGCACCCTCCCAAGGCACCCTGTCTCCTCAGGGCTGGGCGTAAGACAGGACCCCATAGTCATCTCCCCCCCATCAGGGACCAGAGCACCCTTGGCCCTTTGCAGAGGTCCCCATCGGGTGTCCCCAGGAGACTCTGCCATGTGCCAGCCCACGGCCGAGCCCCCCAGGTGCCTGTCCCCAGCTTGGTGGGTGCAGTCGGGTCACCTTATCGCCTGTGTTCATCCTCTTGCTCGAAGAAAACTCCTTCAGGGACCGGGTCACCTCCCTGGGGAGAGCAGGAGGGCACAGCCATCAGCGGGGTGGGTGGCAATGCCGAGCTGACATCCCACCCAGCCAGCAAACCGCCCACAGGGACACTCACTGGGACACCTCGGCGATGTGTTTGTGGCGCAAGGTGACCCACAGGTCGTCGTCCTCGTCCAGAAGAACCTCCTTAATCCGGGCCTCCCCGATACCACTCGTCTCATACCTGGGAAGAGGGCAGGGAGCGTCACGGTGGGAACAGGGCTGGCGGGGCATGTGGTCCCTTGCTGCTGGGGAGGGTGCGCGGCTCTAAGGAGGTGTGGGGAGATGGGGGGACAAGGGGGGGCTCCTTGACTCTTATTTCAAGTCGGTTTTTGCATCTCGCCTTCTGGTACCCCTTCAGCTGCTAAACGGTGGGAAGGGATAGAGGGCCGAAGGCTAGAAAAGCCCCGTTTGCATCAGTCCTGCCCACCACGCCGGCCAGGCCGCAGGCAGGAATGGTTTCTCCCAGCCGATGACTTGTGATGGACGGAGGGATGCTCAGATTTCATGGCTGAGCTCCCAACTCCCGCTCGAAGGCTGGACTCGTGGGGGTCGCAGGGACAGCAGCGCTGCACTCACTTGTAGACATCGTTCTCGATGGGCAGCAGGTCGTAGCTCATTGCCTGGAAGGTCAGCTCGTGTAGCACCGGGGAAGCAGGGTCAAAGCCACGGTCCAGGATGAGGAGCTGGGAGCGAGCCTTGTCTGGACCCTGCAGAGCCGGGGGGAGCCGTCAGCAGCGGGGCTGGGGGCTCCTCCAGCCCTGCAGGTGGTCGGAGGAAGCTGGGGCCATTTCAGGGTCCCTGCTCAGGGTCTGTAACTGCTGCGTGGCAGAGCCCGAGCAGGACTTTGGGAGTGAAGCATCGCCCAAGCATCCTCCCCCGGGGCTGCCGGCACCGTCCCTGCTCACCTCACCCATGGTGGGGTCATCAGCCTTGTAGGCGTCCAGCTTGTCCTGGATGAGCTGCGCCAGCATGGCGTTGTCCTTGTAATCCCTGGAGAAGGCAGGAGGTCAGCTCCCGCCCGCCGGGGATGGGGAGGAGCTGCTGGTTTCCCTGTGCAACGTCCTTGGCTCATGGGAGAGACCTGAGCAGGTTTTGCTGTCCCTTTCCACCTCTCCCCGGGGTTTGCCTCGCTCTATCCTACATGAGGTGCCACTTGGGTTTTAGGCTCCCGCCTCCCCAGAGCATCTTCAGGTCTGAGCCTGATTTTATACTGAGCACAAACATCCGTCTGTCCCGCCATCTCCTCCATCCCCACGCCCTCACCAGCACCGGACACAGCACAGCCCCAGCTCTGCCGCGCTGCTGGGGGAGAGGGCAGGTCCCCGGGGGGGTGCCGACCGCGCTGCCCTTACCCCCTGTACCGCACGGCCGGGTACTCCTTCAGCGTGGCGCACAGCGTGGCGATCTGCTCTGCCAGGCGCTCCAGGATCGGGTTCTTCATCTGGGCCTTGTGGGGGCTGTAAAAGCTTTGGAAGGAGTCGGCCGAATCCAGGGAGTAAACCTGGGAGGTGCAGCGGGAGAGGGGTTAGAGGGGATGCGCTGCGAGGGATGTCTGGAGGAGAGCGGCCCCACAGGACACTCCGGTGGGTTTGGAAACCAGATTCGATCCCAGATGAAGGTCCCCAGCCAAACCTGGGACCGGGCAGCCGGAGCTCAGCGATGCTCAGAGCATCCCTTGGGCTTTTGGCTGCCAGCTCTGGACCCTGACACCTCCCCCGGCTCCGGCTCTGCAGCACAGTCCCTACCCACGTGTAGCCCCTCAGGGTGAGCAGGGCAGGCAGGAGACCCCCTGCCCACAGCAGTCACCTGCTCCAGGCAGGGAACCAGAGACCCAGGGACAAGTGGGGACACGCTGCTCCCTGGCCAGGCTACCAGTAAAGACCAGAAGCCAATTTGCCTGCACGTGGCGATGCCAAGAGGTCATCTCCCGCTTGGCTGTCTCTGCAGAAATGCTGAGGCTTGAAGGGTTAATGGCACCAAGCAGGTCCAGCACCATCTGCCCCTCCCTGTCCCCATGTCCCCAGCACAGGCAGATGGCACGGGCCAGCTCCCCAGTGCCCTTGGCTGGGGGCGGGGGTGCGGTGCTGGCCAATGCGGCTGCCAGCACGGGGCCAAGGCACAGCACCCGCTAAATCCCCCGCGGCAGATCAGCCCCGAGAAGTAATCGAAAGAGACAGGGAGGAAGAGCCGAGCAGGGGGCAAGGAGCCGGCCGGGGCAGAGGGGTGCGGGGCTGTTACACGGACCCTGACGGGCTGGAGAAGGACCCGGAGCATCCCCCGACTGTCCCAGCCCCCGGACCACCCCAGTGGGGACGGTCCCCAGCCCAGCCTCACCTGGGACTCAGAGGGGAGGAAGGCAATGTTGATCTCCGTCAGGGTTTTGATGACCTTGGCAGCGCGGGATTTCACCAGCTCATTGAAGAGGGCATCGGGACAGGCTGCAAGGGGAGGAGGAGGAGGGTAGTGCTCAGCATCCCCCCCATCCCCGCTTGCTTGCGTGACATTTTAGTGACAGGGACTTTCCCTCCCCTCTGTTTCTTTCTTGGAGGAGGGCTGGCTGCCTGCAGCACCAGCTGGGGGGCACAGGGATCTGTCCATCCTTTTGGGAGTGGGTGATGGCAACCACCCGTCTGCACCTGCAGCTGCCCAGCTCCACGGGCAGGATGGGGCTCTCACCCCACAGTTTGCTTTTTTCTCCTCCTCTCTTGCCCGGGAGGTGCCAGTGGGGAGGTGGGGGTCCAGGGTGCCTAGGCAATGGGGTGGGAGCTGCGACCCCCCAGGTACTCACAGTCAGTGAAGAAGACGTGGGCAGCTCTGTACTTGGAGGTGGGGGGATCCTTGAAGTCGTTGATGAGGGAGTGGATGGACTGCAAGAGAAGGGACCAGCTGGGCCGGGCAGGGGGGCACCACGGGCATCTCAGCAGGGTCCCCCAGGGTCCCCCCACCCCTCCTGGCATGGGGGCAGCTCAGCACCGTTGGCCTCGCTGGAGCCAAGATGCTTCCCACGGGCACGGCTGCCCGTCCCAGAGTGGGCATCCCCCCGCCTCCCCCCCGCCACCGGCCGTGCCCCCGCACCCCACACGGCGTATTCACCTTCTCGGAAGGGGTGATGAGATAGACGGCCTCCAGGCTGGGCAGCGGCTCCCGGCGCTTGTTGATGTCTTCCACAACTTAGAAGGGGTGGGGGGGAAAAAACAAGAGGCCGTGGCAGGGCTGGGTGTAAGCTGGGGCACTCGGCTATACAGGGTTGTTGGAAATCTCACGGCAGCACAGGACCAGCCCAGCCAACCCCTCCGTGTCCAAAACGTCCCCAGCCACTCGCCCCTGCCCACCCAGGAGCTGGGGCCGTCCCCACTCTGTCCCAGCCCCGTGGCGCCCCATGCGTGGGTGCCTGGCAAGGTCCCACGGGGCCAGTGGATTTGTCTGTGTGCTCCCACACTGCTGGTGCCTTGGTTTATTCTCACATCCCTCCATCGGAGGGGACCCCCAGGCGTGATGCTCCGGTGGTACCAGGGCTGGGGCAAACCCCCACCACCCCGAACACCTCCCGCTGCATGCCCTGGGGTTTCCTTCTCCTTTCCGAGGGCTGCAGGGAGCTATTTATAAGGCTGCCGTAAAATAACATCTAGTCTTCTCCTCGGACAGACATACTGCCAGCAGACAAAGTGTTTGGGCTCTTCCAGCCCCAGCAGCCGAGGAGGGAGGCTGTGAAACATCAACCCAGCACCAAGACAGTTGGCCACGAGCGATGGGAGGTGGCGTGTCTCCATCCCAAGTGGGATGGGGCTGGGTGGGGGCTGTGCCACCGCCTCAACTGGCTCCTGCCAGCCTGGAGATGCCTTTGCGGGTCCCCTGGTAGAGGGGGAGGTCCCGCCTTTCCTACAACGGGGTTTGCGAGACGGCTGGGAGCAGGTACTCACTGGTTATGCCCTCCGTCATGATGTCGGTCATCTTGCAGCAGGAGGAGAGCATGCGCATGCTGAGCTGGTCCACCACCAGCACCTGGGGAGAGGGGCTGTGAGCTGGGGGCACGGCGGGCAGCCAGGGAGCTGCCCTTCCCCACCCTTCCACCCATCCCTGGGGGGCTTCCTGCCCGCACCTACCCCCTTCCCTGCTTCCTCCTCCCCACCCTCCTCCTCCTCCTCCTCCTTCTCCTCTCCTGGCCCTCCCGGCATTTGCTGCTCACCTTCCATTCGCCCTTCTTCTTCACTTTCCGGATCACATCGTGCATAATCTCTGCAAGAGAGGGAGCGCGGAGGGCTGTGAGCACCCCAAGTCCCCTCCTGCAGCACCCCGGAGCCCAGCAGCAGCAGCAGGGTCTGAGCTGGGGGCACGGAAACCCCCACCCGTGTGTGGGACCACAGCCAGCCCTGCATCCCTGGTGCCCTTCCTGGGGACATGGGGAGGAGATGGAGGGTGGTTTTGGGGTACCCAGGGAGGGGTGGTCACCCCCCAGCCCTGTTTTTCTCTCGTGTTTGGCACTAATAGACAGAACCCACACCAGTGGGGAGCCGCAGGCTAGCAGAGGGTCGGTGGGGGTCCCTGTGGGGATCCTGGAGGCCACCCCTCATGTCTTGGCCCTAATCCGAAGCGCCAGAAAAACAACTGTGGCTTAAGAGCTTCTTTTAGAAACAAGAATCAAGCGGCCCGAGCTTGTTCCTTATAATCCCCCACAATCTCATTTCATCTCCCGCAGCTGCTGGGCTTACACAACAGCCGGGACAGCAGCACCCCTGGGTCCCCCTTCCACCCCAGGGACCCCTCGGGGCTGGGGCCACCCTGCACCCATATTCCCAGGCACAGACACCCCCCTTCTGCCCTGGGCCAGCCTGCGGGCTGCTCCCCGTGGGGTGCAGGTTAAGGCCATTTTGGGGGGCAGCCCCGGCAGCGGGATGGGGATGTCCCCTTCTGGGGCTGGCGCAGGAAGGGGGTTCCAAGCCTTGCCAGAATAGGTACTTGCCCTCCTGCCAGACACACGTGTTGCCTCAACATCTGTGTTAGGGGACATGAGGTGTCCCCCAACACCTTGAAGGTCCCCCTTTTACCCTTGGTGTATGAACCAGCACCCTCACAGAGCTGGGACACGCCAGGGAACTGCCTGGCCGAGCCTGAGGGAGAGTCTGTGCCCGTGAGCAGCTGCACCACGTCCTCCACACGGTGCTTCTCCCTGCTCTGACCCTCTGGTCCCAGGGACAGGGATGGAAATGCCCAATTAAAACACAATTAAGAAATGTTTCTAGATTAGAGCACATATGAGGTGTGGGGAGCCCATCGCTGAGGGTGTCACCCTGCCTTCCGCTGTGGGAGTGACCCCAAGGGTGTTGATCCCCCAGGTAAAGCTCAATTTGGGTTTATATGGGGCAGTTTGGGGCCTAAATTGGTCCCTTTTTTAGGATAATGCTTGAGGGATGTATGCAGAAGGGACTGTCCTGGGAGCACCCAGCCCTAAAAACTCCTGCTTCTGGGTAATGCTCCCCATGGTTTCCCCACACTGGTCGGCTCATTCCCTGTGCTACCACCCAAACACCCCGCGGGGATTTCAGGGGCTGAGTGAGGCTGTAACACCCCCTGGGCTGCCCGCGGGGCTCAGCTGCAGCTGCAGCACCAGGGTGGGGACGGCTGCCAGCAGGGATAAAATGGGAGCCTGTGAGCATCGCTGGTCTGTCTGTCCTGCTGTGAAACTTGGAGGCAGCCGCTCCTACCGCTGCACAGCCATCTCCTTCCCAGCGAAATCTGCCTCAGGGAAGCTCCAGAAAGATGCTGGCCATGAATTTGGGGTCCTGCCTGCCCTTGGTCACATCCTTCAGCCTCTCCATCGGTAAAGAGGGTGCAGGGCACCCGTTTAAGGGGGGATGGAGCGTAACTGGATGCACATGATCTGTGCCCCTGAGCCGGACACTGCTGAGGGGGCAAAAGCTGCTGCCTGCTCCCATGTGTGCTGCCCACCCGAATCAAGGTCACCCACGCAGCAAAAAAGTGAGTTGGGAACTATCCTCCGCCGTGGGCAGGAGCCGGCAGCAAGAGCTGCTCGTGTGTCCCTGGTCCTGCTCTCTCTGGTCCTTCGCTCTGCAGGAGCGGGGCTGGGGAAGGAGGGATGCCAGCGCATCCCTCCCCTTCCTTTCATTACTCACGTTTGGCTCCTTCCCAGGCGCAAGCATCCAGGAATAACAGCGCTGTTTACGAGGCAGCACGCCCGCGCCCTCCATCCCAACACCAACAACCTCCATCGCAAGCGGCGGGGAGTAAAGCGCGGCGGGGCCGTGCCGGTGCACCACGTGCCGGGCGGCGACGCCGGCCGGGAAGGGGTCAGGGTCTGGCTGTGAGCAGCCTGGAAGAAATCTTGCCCCTGCCACGAAAATCCCGCTTTGCTCTGGGGCTGGGAGGGGAAGGAAGGAAGGAGGCTGGGAAGGAGTGTCCTGGGGCCCAGGGAAAGGTGCTGTCGGTGCAAAGGTTCCCACGGCCGGCTGGCACGGCGCTCCCAGCACTGCTGCGGCACGCAGGGGATGGGAACCCAAAAAGGGCTCCCTGGGGAGCTGCCTTGGCCAGCCCCGAGCTGCTCCTCACTGGGGCAGCCACTGTAGGGGACATTTTGTCCTCAGAGCCTGGCTTTGTGGGGACTCTCTGTTCTGCACGGGGTGGGCTGAGCTGGACGCGTGCGATGGGGGGGAGCGTCTGCCCGGCTGTGCACCTCCCAGTGCCAAAAGTGCTGTCATGTCCCCTGGCCTGATCCTGGCACCAAGATGGGCCTCCCAGAGCAGAAACTGGCCACCTCTGAGGGTGACTGCTCTGAGCTTTCTGGTTTTAGGGCGTCCATCCCCTGCTCAGAGGCGGGGCCCCGCTGGCACCGGGGCCCAGCCCTGCTCCCAGCCCGCTGCAGAGCTGCCCTGTGCCTGGGCTGCAGCCACGCACAGCCCGTCCCTAAACCAGTGTCCTCTCCTGCCTTCACCACGGGTCAGATCTGGCTGCAAAGTAGCCTCCACGTCCGCTCTTCCACCGGCTGCCAGGGCCAGCTCAGAGCCTGGGCAGGGCCAGGAAAGAGCCACATCCACAGAGCATCCTCCAAAGAGGCTTCGGGGCCCTGGCAAAGCGTGGGAGGGCGAGACAGAAGTGTTTGAGATTACAGTGTTCTGTTTGGAGGAGACGTGGCCATGACCTGCACCTCTCAGGTGTCCTTGCAGCAGCCATTAAACCCCCAGGTTTAAGAGCGGTCTGTTAGCCCTTGGGTGGACCAAGAGCGCAACGCTAAAAGCTGCAGGTGGCCAGGGCTGGCACGGAAAGAGGGAAGATGTGGGAATTTTGAGGTCAAAAGGCACAGTCCAACAGGGTACAGCTGCTCCCTGGAGCTGTTTTGGCTAACGTGGCTGCTAGCGGTGGAGCTGAGGCCATAAGACCAAAGGTTTAGCCAAAGCCAGAGCTGAGAAAACACCCGGACCCATCCTCAGAGCAGGGCAATTTCTAAGCAGCCTCTCTGGCAAGGGCACGTATAACCAGGAGAAGGAATGCCAGCTATCCAGGATGAGCAATACCAGGGAAGGCATCCTTGAGCTGATTCTGCAACCAGTTATAGGATCGGCAAGAGACTCTCAGGTGAAACAGGAGCTCCTCAGTTCAAGGTCCTCAAGTCAAGCCCGGATCCCTCCTGGGAAGCGGTGCTCTCACATCCCCGCATTAGCAGGTCAGATGTTGCTGTTTGTGTCCCTAAACAGTCTGTCCAGTCAGAGTTTTTGGGCTCTAATGTCAGTCAGTGACGCTCACAGCCAAGCTTTTCATCTTGGAGATAAACCAGGTTTCAGGGGAAAAAATGCGTAAGCATATCTCATCCAGTGCCTTCAACACTTGGCTTGTCTAGACCTACCACGTTGCATCTGTTTCCTTCAGGCTGGAAGAATTTTAATTATAATTTCTACCGAGAACAAACACAGACAGCTCTGGACTTATCCTCCAATGTAGAGACAACATCAGTGCCTATGGACGAGGAAGCACATCTCACCCACGAACGGAGGAGCTCCAGCGCTCTTGAGTAATATGGTCCTAAAAGAGCAATCATGCAGATGACATGCTCAAGAGCAACCACCTCCCCCAGCCCACCACCTGCCTTGTTCTCGGCGTGACGCATGGCATGAAAATGACCCACTGCAGCATTTTCAAGTAGGGCCAGAAGCTGGTGACATGGTGGCCTAGCAGGACTCGAGCCCACGCATCACTCCAAGAGGCTTAGCCTGCGTTATTTATCCCACGCTGGCCGGGCAGCCTTTCTCCAAGCCTGCCTTGCCTCACTTGCTCATGGTGAATGCAACCAGCCCCATGTCTCCAAGTGGCTCTGGGGGAAGAGGGACCAACCCTGCCATCGCTTGTGCCCACACCAACAAAACTGTGACCAAGTCCAGCCTGTGCTGCACCTGAGACAAACTCATTTGGGGATGCCCCAAGCCCGTTATTCCGCTTCAGAAAGAGCCTGAAACCTAATCAGCAGCCCCAAGCTCCACTGGTCACTGGAAGCAGTAAACCCGTGTCCTGGCCACCACCCCATCCTGGAGCACCAGGATGGATGAGGGACGCTGCAGCCGGGGGATATTTTTATTCTAGAGCTGACCCGAGCCCTTCCCTCCCAGAGCAATGCAGGAGGCCAAACTCCTGCTGCTCAGAAATGCTCCTTTGCTGCCATGTCCCGGGACCTCACGGGCAGCACACCTTGGTGGTAAGGGAAGATGGAGTTTCTTTATGGATGGGCAACGGGCTGTAGGAATTGCCCAAGGTCCTACAGGAGACGAGTGGTCCCAACCGTGGGCTCTTCCCTGCCACAGGCAGGGCTCAGCCTTTTCACTCTCCTCACACGTCCTCCATCTTGGGATCCAAAATCCCAGAGCAGATCCAGAGAGCCAGGTCACAGAAATCCACGGTGAGGTTTGCTCAAGACCCACTTCTCTTAAAAAGCTGTCATGCTGCATCTCCAAGACAAACATGTTTGGCTTTGGGTTGGCTTGGCAACTGCTTTTTTGCTGGCTCATTAACAAACTGGTTAAGACAGTGTGAATGTTACATAGATACAACCACGTGTGAATGTAGTGGAGCACGTATCTACCTCTGAACATCTTCAGGGGGGACCTCTAGGAGACAGTGGACCATCCCCAAGCAGTCTCCAATAAAATAGGCTCCACAGACCAGAGGATGGCAGGAAGGCCATCAACCCCATTCAGAACACAGAGAATAACTTCATTTACAGGAGGCAAAGCCTA